ATTGCCACAAGGCCACAAAAGGTTAAAAGCGGACTTTGCAAACCCGCATATAATTTTAACCAAACCCCCTTGGGTCACAACCTAGTAAGGTTTAAAAGCCTCCTCAGGCAAATATTTTGTTCAAAAGAAAATAAAGCCTCCTTAGGCAAAAATAAGTTTGAAATTAAGTCTTAAAAATAAAGGGACAATCCCCAATTTAAAGTGGACACAGCCACTACGGAGCAGCAGCCACCTCGGAATCCGGTTCAACAGTCGAAGCTTCATTCGCCTCCTTGGCAGCTGCTTGATCAGATGAAGCTCCTTGACCACCCTCCGCGGTACAACCAACCTCCGGAGTGACCTCCGGTACCATAGGGGCTACGGGCGGGACAACGTCCTCCGTCTCACTTGAGCCTAGGAATAATAATTCCAGTCAATCAAAGGTACAAGAAAAGGAAAGGTAATAAATATCAGGAGCCAAGCATTACCTGCCCAGTCTAGACCTGATTCGCCTATAGGAGGCGATTCAGTGAAGAATTCCTCGAAGTCCTGAGGGTTGAAGGTCGGAGTAGGAAGAGCTGCCAAGCGACTCCGCTTTTCAGAAAGATTAGCCGATAGTTCGGTTCTCTCTTGATCCTCGGAGAAATCTGCATCATGGATTTGATCCAACAGGATCAGGTTGCTCTCGTGCTCCTTGATGTCTGATTCCAAGTCAGACCTAGCCTTCTCAGTCTGCATGAATCGGATGGCCCCTTGGATCAACTCCATCCCGCGTCCCTTGACCTCTTTTCTGGCTTTTGATGCCGACCTCGCCAACTCGGAGTCACGCAATTTGGCGATCGCCTTGTACTTCGCGTTGAGTTCGATGAGTTGGGTGTTCAGGGAATCAGCGTTTGATTCGGACTCTTGAAGCCTACCTTGAATACCAGAAAACTCTTCCTGGAGCTTGAAGTTCTGGTCGTACTGACCCTGCAGCTCCCCCTTTATCTGCGCAAGCTCGGATGTTAAATTGTCGACTTTGTCCTCCAGATCGTGCTTGGAGCCGGCAGAAGAACTGAGTTCGGCCTCAAAAGCAGAGAGTTTCTTTTTCCACATGTCAATCTCCTTCTCCCGTCCAATGACCAACCCTTCGTAATGTTCGATCATGTCGTTAAATTCGCTATGAGCCTGGTGTTATACATGAACCCGGGGTGGCAAGTCAGTTCGCAGAATGGCAATACAATAAAAAATATATATAAAAGAAAACGGAACTAACCCGAGATGAATGATGTGCATGAAGCAAATAACGTTCACGAATCGCAGGGCGCCATTTGTCGAAGTCTGGCAAGATCGAACCCGATCGGGTCTTGAAGCATCGGAAGACGCTGCCCTCTTTCTCCATAGCTGCGAAGAAAGAAGAGTTGTAAAAATCGGAATCTTAAAAAAAAAAAAACGTTGAAGACTGTATGAATCACCAAACCTGAAAGCGATTTGATTTGAGGGACAAGAGCAGGTTTTAACCTCGAGGAAGCATCTCGAGATTCAGAATCTCCCTTTTTCGGAGACGCGCTCCGGGCAGTCTTTCCACTATCAGGCTGGGAATAGGAGGACATATCAACCGGTCGAGGAGGACCCATTGGTTCAGAAGGAGGGGATGACCGAGGTGAGCGGTCATTCCGGGCCCTTGACTTTTCCCTTTGCGGGGAAGGATCACTGCGAGAAGACTTGTCTCTCTTCCGGCGAACCAAGTTCTTAATTGGTTCACTACTAAAATCATCTCGGGGAGGACGAGGTGAATCACGGCGAGGAGATTGATCCCTCCGAGGAGAACGTGAGTCGCGGCGATCGCGACGAGGAGTTAATCTGAAGGAAGCAACAGATCGGGCTCCCTCGGTGCTGCCATCATCAACCAGCAAGGTCCTACTGTAGTCCTTCTTGTCTATGGAAGTCGCGAGAAACTTTTTCTTCTCCTCGCAAGCCTCAGCCATCGGCTTGGAAAGCAACTTACGTTTGGCCGCAAGGGCCCGAGATGACATTCCCTGAGTTGAGGGAGGGGGAGGGATTTGATGAAGATGACCAGGCGGACTCATCCTGAGTCTGTGGTTAGCTTCTAAGAATCGCTCAAGAGTGAAAGAATTCCAAAGGGTTTCCCCTTCAAGAATTATTTTGAAGAATTCAATGAACTCTTCAGATGGGAGAGCGGAAGCGACGAAAGCTGCGAAATGAAACAACGGTGTTAGTTAATAAAGATAAAGAAACAACCGGGAAAGATACGGGCGACCTAATCTCTACCAGGTTTCGCCGACCACTTCGAAAGGAGGAAATCTGCAAGATTTCCAATCGAAGCGGGAGTTTTCTTAATCAGAAACCAAGGATGATGCCAATTTTCATCCTTGTTTGGAAGATGCGAAATGATGTTCCTGTTGGCGTTAGGATATGCTGAGAAATATCCCGTTTTCTTTGATGAGCTTCTCACGCTTAGAAGCTCATTTAGTTCAGTAACTCCGACGACATAACCGGCCTCCGCCACGATTGTAATAATCCCAAGAATGGTACGGAGAAGGTTGGGGGTTAATTGAGGAAGAGCGATTTCAAGAGCCGCTAGGTATAGAACTAGGGCTTCGGGAAGCGGGAAGGTTAATCCGCAACCCTTGAAGTAAATCTCGTACACACAGAAGTAACCATCGCGATGGTTCTCCGGGGATTCTGTGGGGGAGGCTATTTGTGTTCCGCCATAATTTTCGGCGGAATCCGGCAGAGCTCTCTCAACCGCTCAAGGGATTGAAGGGTACAAGTGGATCTATAGTGCGGACCGGCAATATCATCAGAGCGGGTGCACTCGTCGTTGCTAGAACGCCTCTCATCGAAAGACGGAGATTCGGGTCTATCGGAATCAGAAGTCATTGGGAAAAGATTAAAAGATCCGGCGAAGAGAGATTTTTGTGAAGAGAAGAAGAGAGAGTTTTTGATTAAAGTACAAAAGTAAAAGAAGAGAGTAATGGTGAAAAGAAGTTACCTCAAGCTAATGATGGAACCGCCTCGGAAGTTGTGTGGGAAGTGGGAAGGTTTTTTCCCGTTTTAATAGTAATTAATCAATATGCGGTCATAATGATGACAGATGTCATTTGGTTAAAAATGGCTAGTGCCGAAATTAAAGGAGTGATGAGATTTCCGGCGGGAAATCAGAAAGATTCTCGAGCGCAATCTTTGGCCACTTGAGCATTTAAAGTCCTCCGAATTGGAACAGCACTTCGAAGAACTTGGGGGGCTAATTGTTGGTGTCGGATCCCGCACCAGAAGTCCGCGACCAACCAAAGATTGCCACGTAGTCAAGATAATGGCCCATAAAGGATGAAGCCCATTGGACCCGTGAGCCGAAGGGGCGGTCGAAGTGGTTGTCAATATTTCAATAATCCGAAGTGACTGCACTGTGACACGAGTTCGGTGTAGAAGACACGGGTAAGTCGGTTTAAGGACACTTGGGCCAAAAGGGGCGAGGCCCATAGAGATCAGAGTCAACTCAAATTCAAACGTTGAGCATTAAAGTCGAAGAATCAAAACGGACACATTTAAGAAGGAATAATTGTACTTAATTACTCATTTTAATGTCGCTTATCTATGTATAAATATAGAGGCCGATGGCCGTGTAAAGGGGAGCTTCCTCGCGAACAAGAAATAATATAGCAATTTTATAAGTTTTCTTTTTACATATTCATTTTTGTCCCTCAAGAATAATCCTTCCTACTTAACAAAATACTTGAGTGTGTGAATCCGACATCCACAGGGTCTAAAAAAAGAGAAATGGTCTCATATAGCCCTAAATGAAGTTTTTGTGACAAAAATAGCATCCACAAGTTTATTTGACAAAAATAGCACTCATTTACCTTATTTTTGATTTTTAAGAATTAATAAATTAAAATAGAAAATAAACATTAAACACATTCGACGGAGAAGCTTACGATTGTTGTTTCCTCTGAAGCTTTCAATCTCCAATCTTCAATTCCGGTAAAGCTTCCAATCTCCGATCTTCAATTCCGTTGAAGCTTCCGATCTTAGAGCTTCAATCAGAGAGTTAATTTCTGGGATTCACGGCGAAATCATGGGTATGTGATTGTAGCTCTGGATTTGTAACTCTTCCATTGCATTTAATTAGACGTTTATGATTGTAGCTCTGGATATGGTTTGATGTCGATTTGTAACTCCTGCATTTGATTAGAGGTTTGTGATTGTAGATCTGGATTTGGTTCGATGTGGATGTATTTCTGGGTTTGTAGCTCCTAAAATTGATCAACGTTGTGATTTTGCTCTAGATTTGATTAGCTTGTGAGTGTAGCTCTCGCTTTGATTGGATGTGGATATAGTTCTGGATTTGATTAGCTCCTCCATTTGATTAGCTCTCGATTTGAACTCTTTTAGTGATTAGTTCTTGATTAATAGCTCTTGGATTTGATTGTTGCTCTCGAGTTTCTAGTTTATTATGAGTGTTATTTAATTTGTTCCTCAATCACAGCTAACAATACAATCCATGATTTCTTTTGTCTAATAACAGGCTACAACTATTTTATTTTACATAGTCTACAGAGCTTATTAGAAGCACCAAGTTTTGCCCAATTGGGATATTATAATCATTTGTATTCCACCCATAACTTCAGACATTACAGGAATGTTGTTGTCTTTTGCAGCTAATCTTGTTGTCTCTTTGGATTTTTTTTAGTTTGATTTTGCATTAGAAATCTTGTTGGCTGCACATGAAAAGTAGAAGGTAAAAACTCATTTTCATAGGTTTTAGGAAGGATACGTGTATTTTAGGATGGCCTCCCTAAGTAATGCAATATACAGATATGATGCTTTCTAGTCATGTGTTTTCAATTTTAACTCTCTGTCTATTTTCCTGTCTATGTTTTTTGCTTGTAGGTACTTCATCCATCAGTCGGAACTTCTTCTATCAGAGTTGTACATGGAATAGAGCAGGATGCTCATTTGTATATGTTTTAGGAAGGGCACATACATATTTAGGATGACTTTTCTAAAACATATTCAGGATGCTCATTTGTAAGATATTCACGAATGAGAAGCTTTGTTTACTAGTTATATGTTTTGTTACAATAACAATAGGTCTTGGGTTCAAGTAGTGGTTGAACATTTTGTCCAATCTTCATATTTCATTTTGTAACCTTTACCTAGAAGCTCGACCAGCAGACTTAATTCTGGATCATCTTCGTCTTCCAATGAAACTTTATCTTCAGGATCATCAGGTTTTGAAGGTGAGATGCAAAATACATTCAGCTGCACAAAAACAAACACATTCAGCAGACTTAATACATTCAATTACATATTTTAGGAAGGCCATCCCGAATTACTATAAATCCTTCCTAAATTAGGAAGGTCAACCCGAATTACTATAAATCCTTCCCAAATCAGGAAGGCCATCCCAAATTACTATAAATCTTTCCCAAAAGTAGTTTAAACCATAAAAAGAAGAGACTGAATTTACATGATTAGATGCTTCAATATTCAGTATTTGAGAAAGTTGCGGTGATGGTAAGCTCGTGTATTTCTCACACAAGAATGCAGTCGGATTCTCTATTAAATTGATTCGGCTGTAGGCTGTTTGTAGCAGCAGAAAAAAATTAAATCTAGTAGATAAGTTCCACAGATTCATAAGAACATCCGCCATTTGAAACATCAACCCCAAATTCAAGAGGGAGAAGGCTTCCTTTTCCGCGTAGGCAGATTAGTAGGAAATGCAAAAGAAGAAAGAAAGAGAGTTATATCAAAATCCTTAGAACTTATTAAATTACTACGATTCCTATTAGTTCTTATCTTGTAATTTTTGCTAAGATATATTAGTATTACCCGAGCTAAGATATACATAAAGATTATAAAACTGCAACATGAATGTATTGTAAAACGTTTTTGCTCCAAAATACCACAATTACCATATGATAGTAATAATAAATATCTTAAAAGCAACACAGAATCACAGAAGATTTTCGGGAAGACTATCCTGAATACTTAGCAACACAAAATCACAGATTTCTGTACCTTCAAACTTTCAATGACAATGGAAGCTAACATAGCAAGCTTATGAATTCATATAATATTATCTATATATCACAGAATGACGGTAGCTTTTGTATTCATACATCTATAGATTCATTAAGTGCAAGGAGCTTAAGAACACTTTGTTTGGTTATAAATAGAGCAGAGAAACAACACAAACCATACCAAAGATTAGAAAATCTTCCAATGGAATCAAAAATCACAAATATTATAGAGAATCATTTCTTAATTTCAGCCAAAGAGAGAACAATAAAGCCTCAAATTCATTTCTAGTACTCAATCATTTCTTAATTTCAGCAATCTAGAGAACAAAAGAATGTACTATGAATTAAACATATCAAGTACACCATTTTCATCAACAATGTTTGAAATACAAGTATCCTAAAATTGATTCACTTATAGCAAAACCCTATGTCAGAAATCGCAGTGAAAATGACAGTGATCTAATCATTGTCCCCAATGACAAAAAACCTCACCCTAAATCGGAATCGAATTTCACCGATTATCTTTCAGCATTTGTTGAATCGAAGCAAGTGAATGAAAGGACTACAGAAACTCGCCAGAGAAGAATTGGAGAGTGAGGGAAATTACACAAACTCACCGGAGAAGAATGAATCCGACAAAGTCTTCAAATCTCCGGTGAAGAAATCAGATCCGGTGACCGACGGAGTCGTCGAGGGCGACGACGAAGGTCGAGGTCGACAGCGAAAGTCGAGGTCGACGGCGAAAGTCGAGGTCGACGGCGAAAGTCGAGGTCGACGGCGAAGGTGGAGGTCGACGGAGTCGTCAAGTTTTTCGAAGGTGAAGTTTGTTGGAAGCGAAGCCGTCGGGTGTGGAAGAAATGAAATTAAGTTTTGTGTATTTTTTGTTTTAATTAATTAGAAGATTAAAAACTTTGTGTGCTATTTTTGGAAGTTTCAAAAGAAAGTGCCATTTTTGGAATAATAAGCCTTTTTAGTGCCATTTTTGTAAATTGCCCCTAAAAAAACCAGTTTTCCCGCAATTTTGTGCAGACGAAACAGAAAAGCTTACAAGGAAAAGCCAGAAGACTGGCAAGACGTTTTTCATTTTCATTTACAAATATCATACAGATTTTGTTTGGGTTAGGATTTAGCAAACAAGTGTGTAAGTATGTATATATGGTCCATTAAACACGTATGTTACCTAAGTCTTAGTCAATGCCTATTGGGTTGACTCATGTGCAATTTATTGTTCAGTCAAGCATAGTAGACAAATTGGTACATGAAAAAAGCCAAAAACAAAGTTCACATTGTTGTAACTATATGAATGAATCATGTGGCACCCAGAACCAGAAGAACACGTTTTAGCATCTCCTAGGCAGAAATAATGCATATTTGGACGACGAGATAAGTCAAAAATATTAAAAGACAAAGTGACATTAAGATAGCAAAATGGAAAATTCGTCAATTGGTAGGGTATAAAGCTGAGCAATCTGCCCGGTAACAGCGCAGCGAAATTAGCATTTAATAAAGCAGCAATTAGAACCACACTGCTAAGTAGGCCTGGGCAAAATACCCGGAACCGAATACCCGAACCAAAAAATCCGAAAAATACCCGAACCGAACCCGAACCCGATTTTTAAAAATACCCGAATGGGTCCTAACCTCCTACCCGAAAAAAACCCGAACCGAACCCGAACCGAATCCAATACCCGAATGTACCCGAATGTATCCGAATACAAATATACACCTAAAAATATTAGTTATATTTATATTTATAATACCCGAAATACCTAAAATTACCATCATAAATCCGAATATATTAGGTATTTTTGACTAATTCGGATACATTTGGATATATTTGGTTAAAAGTAACTAATGATGTAGTTTTCTTTTGGGTAATTTTAGTATTTTTAGATATTTTTGGTTATATTTGGGTAAAGAGTAACCAATGTATTTTCGAGAAATCCGGTATTTCGGTTAGATTTGGGTATATATGAGTTAAAAACCCGAAGCCGACCTGAACCCAAAAATATTTTGGGTATTTTTGGTTATTTTCGGGTATTTTGCTTTTTTTATTAAAATACCCGAACCGACCCGAACCCAAAAATATTTTGGGTATTTTTGGTTATTTTCGGGTATTTTGCTTTTTTTATTAAAATACCCGAACCGACCCGAACCCGAACTGAACCCGAACCGAATTTTTAGAATACCCGAATGGGTCTTGACCCCCTACCCGAATAGACCCGATACCCGAAAAAAAAAACCGAACCCGAACGGGTACCCGAATGCCCAGGCCTACTGCTAAGCCCTAATCCCTTAAAACTAAAACAGAGTATTGCTAAAAGAGAAAATTTCTCAAAAGGTGACTCGTAACGAGAGAAGGAACCATAAGTCACAATATAGCTTAAATTCCCGGTTTAGTAAATTAACCTGAACACAAATTAAAACCTAATTTCAGTTAACATCAAAGTTGACCCAACGCATTAATTTTACATCAATAGTTAGAAAGTCCCTTGGGTTTATTGATCAAATTTCTGGACTCATAACTACAATTCCTAAGATTTCCATAACATAGAGCTGATATTACAATGTAGCAATGATGAAGAATTTATATGAACTTACTTTGATTGAGTTTATCTCACATATCATACATAACCATTTCAATGGAACTAATGTCTGGTCAATGTAATCTCAACTTCAACGAGGTTCAAGATCTGTGATGGTTACATCATTGATAGTTTGGGAACTAGACCTGTTCGTAGACTGGCTAGACTCGAGGCCATCTCGTTCTTTGTTGCTTTTATTTGGAAAGAAGAATCCAGGTTGTTGAGGATCAGGTAAAACATACGAATTGTTAGTGAGCATCATGTTGATTGTCGACAAGCTGGGACGATCAGTGGGACTGTGTTGAACACATAGTAGTGCAATGTGGATGCAGCTTATCACTTCTTCGGTTTCACAATTCTCTGAAATGGTTGGATCCACGAGTTCCAATGGTGACCCATTTCTCCACAACCTCCAAGCCTGTAACATAATTTAGTTATCATTCAAGAACATATAGTCAAAACCACAATTTATCATTTAATCATTAGTCCAGAACAGAGTTCTTCTTTGGTACTCACGTATGTCACCAAATTCTCAGCTGTAGTGTCTGACTGGTGGACGAATCTGTTATTTTGACCGCATATAATCTCAAGAACCAATACTCCAAAACTATATACATCAGATTTTGTTGAGAATTGGCCATGCATCACATATTCTGGGGGCATGTAACCGCTGCAATAGTAAAACACAAGCGAAATTACGTACATTACCATTTACCAGCGAAGAAAAGATTCTTGAAGCGTCAGTACATAGGCCATAACAAGGGTAATAGGCATATACCGTGTTCCAGCTATTCTGTTTGTATTAGCTCCACTTTGGTCGATCCCAAATATTCTCGCCATTCCAAAATCAGCAATTTTTGGGTTCATATTGGCATCTAGAAGAATGTTGCTGGCTTTGAGGTCACGGTGTATGATTGTGAGCCGTGAGTCTTGATGAAGATATAAAATTCCTCGAGTGATTCCTAGGATAATGTTGTACCGTTTTGTCCAGTCTAACTCTCCTTGCTTCATTGGGTCTGCACATAGAAAAGCAGTTATTAGCTACTTCAGATTTCAGTAAGAGAAGCTTGTCAAAAATATAATGAACACATATAATTTGCTAATTCCACAAACCAAAGAGGAAGTAATCGAGGCTCTTGTTGGGAACAAACTCGTAAACAAGTATCTTTTCTTCTCCTTCCAAACAAAAACCGAGAAGCCTAACAAGATTCCTATGGTGAAGTTTTGCAACAACAACAACCTCGTTCTTGAACTCATGTGCACCTTGTTTGATGATTTTGACAGCCTCTTAATTGCAACTTCAGTCCCGTTGAGGACAGCCTACAAAGAATTAGACAACATCATCTCATTGTCTGGATCCCTTCTGCAAACTTCTTACATAAATTTAGAATTAGGTGCTCCTAGAAATGATAAAATGATACCTTGAAAACTTCTCCAAATCCACCACGGCCAATTATATTGCTCTCCGAGAATTTGTTTGTTGCAGCTTCAATCGTTTTAAAATCGAATTGCTTTTAGATGATGGCGAAGTAGTATTAGCTATCATACCACTTGTTAACACTTCCCACGCTTTATCAAACTCTGCTAAATTGGATCTGATATCTTCCTGACTTGGGGTAGGAAAATGCGGTTCTATCGTGAGTGATCCAAAAAAATAAATATTGGAGTACCGTACCATACACACAACCCGTTTTTCAGACCAGGCCAGGCCTTCCGTCTGGTTGGGACAGCTGTCTAATAACAGATTAGACGCAAAGTCAATACAGTTGTAGCAAACCTCTGGTTCAGCACCTTGAATGCACATCCCTAGAGCGTACACTCGACGATCCGGGCCTTGGCCAATCGAAGTATTGAAGTAGCCACTTTGAGCTGAAACATTAGAAGCAAGAGAAGAGAGGAGAAGGCCACGGTTCTTGTCATACCTACCATTTGGTACAAAAACCCCAGTTTTTCCGCATTCTGGTGCAAACACAACAGTAAAGCCTATAAGGAGAAACCAGAAGATTGGCAAGAGATTCTTCAATTCCATTTTCAGGATCATACAGATGATATTTAGATTAGGACAGCAAGCAGGTATGAATAATATGCATACCTTTTTTTTTTTGTCTATAAACATGTCCTCGTCAATTAAACGTCTGCTAGAAGTTATGTGGACCTATCACCTTTATAAAAAAAAAAACAAAAAGAAGTTACGTAGAGTGTGGACCATCAATAGAAAAATCAATCTCCGTTGACTCATTTACAATTTCGGTTGAGTAAGCAACACACGTCAGAGACAAAGCAAACCGAAGATTTTTCTCTAAAATTTTCCAAGTGTTGAATTCGTCAAACTGATAACAGTGGTCTTTAAACCTGCTTACACGGTCCTAAAACAAGCGTCAATAATTTAAATCTTAAGTAAACGGAGACTTGAGTCTCCTCTCTTTTGGAATCATTAAAAAAAAAAAAAAAAACAGAATTTAGATGTGACAAATACAGAAGGAAGATCATGATGGTCATTAATGAAAGATGAGAATTTAACTCGATGAAACCAATTTTCACGCAGAGCTCTGCCCCGAACAGAGTGGCGAAAGCAGCAATCAGTGGTGTCTACACATACGAATGAACACCTAAATGTCATTGACTAAAGAACGGTGAGCTTCAATCTAACGAATCAAGCAATCTAAAATCGTATCGCCATTACAAACCCTAATTCGTGGGAAAAAGGCGCATCAATTTTTGTATATACAGATTTGATACTATACCGATTTTAATCAAAAATTTGTTGTTCAAATACAACCGAAATTAATATTGATCGAAGTAGTGTAAGTCAAGCATGTCATTATCTAGGTTTTGCTGAGTCAAGATTTCAAGTGGTTAACGGTCCACTTCTGCGACCATTGTGCGGTTGGACATTACTGATCTAATAATGAAAGAAAAAAGGTTATCTTTAACTAAATTTAAACGTACCAAATCACTGAACTCGATCAAATTTCAAAATCAACCATGCACTAAACTCGGTAAAAGGTGTTCAAAGCTTGGAAAGGACATATTAGGGTTCTCCATCAAACAACATCACAACCAAATTTAATTACAATAGTTTTATCTGATTTCAGTTTCAAACAAGAAATCCAAATCAAAAGAAAACAATAAAATGGATAACCACCTCTAAAAATATGTAAATATTGCTTTAACAAATTGAAAAAAGTTCTTATTTTGTCTTCAAGGTTAACTTGAATGTTAACACCATATTCAACGAGGATATACTTAGGTGGGATTGATGCACCGTCAATAAACCTTGGAACAGAATTGGTGGTGGTCGTTGGTTGATTTAAATCAAGCGGGTCTTTTTCAGGTCAACTCTGAACGAAAAATCCTGGTTGTTGAGGCACTGGTAAAGTCACAGTATCATTAGTGAGCATCATAAAAATGGTTGACATGATCGGACGCTCCTCAGGATCTTCTTGAACACATAAAAGACATATATGGATGCATCGAGCTACTTCACTCTTTTGGCAATTATCTATAATAATTAGATCCACGAGGTCCAATGCTGTTCCCTTACTCCATAGACTCCAAGCCTAGAATATAAATCAATCAATCAGTTCTTGCAACCACTGCTTATTGTAAGAGATGTAAATATCAATACTTGATTGCTTTTAAGCTTACATATGAGACCAAGTTATGTGCCCCGTCAGTCTCATAGAAGCTCTTGTTCTTCTTACCGCTTATGATCTCAAGAACTAACACTCCAAAGCTATAGACATCAGATTTCACTGAGAACTGGCCATTTATTGCATATTCAGGAGACATGTAACCGCTGGGATCCACAACAAAACTTTGTTACATTGGCAAAATCATGTTTAACAAAATTAACTTATGAGAAGTAAAAAACTTACAAGGTACCAACTATTCTGCTTGTGTTCTCCTGGCTTTGGTCCATTTCAAAGATCCTTGCCATTCCAAAATCAGCAATTTTGGGATTCATATCCGCATCCAAAAGAATGTTACTTGCTTTTAGGTCACGGTGTATGATTGTAAGCCGTGAATCTTGGTGAAGATATAAAATCCCCCGAGCAATCCCTTCAATGATCTTGTGTCGTTCAGTCCAGTCCAGTTGGCCTTGTTTTGCAGGATCTGTGTGCGCATATCCATGATTTAGAGTTAAATCTAAAGACTTGTAGCGCCCAAGTTTCAAAATGGCAAAACAATCATTGAGACAAAACAATAATTGAAACTGACCGAAGATAAAGTAATCAAGGCTTTTGTTGGGCACATACTCGTAGACCAGTATCCTTTCTTCTCCTTCAAGAGAAAACCCGAGAAGCCTAACTAAACTTTTGTGTTGAAGCTTTGCAACTACAACAACCTCGTTCTTGAACTCTGTGTGACCTTGTCCTGATGATTTTGACAGTCTCTTCACCGCAACTTCAGTTCCATTCAAAAATGTACCCTATCCGATCGTTTTCATCAACATCATCTCATTATTCAAATGTATTGACACAAGATTTAATAAAAAGTACACAACCTCAGCGCAGTTAAATAATTCATAGTAACAGTACCTTGTAAACCTCACCAAATCCACCTTGACCAATCTTATTATTTTCTGAAAACTTATTTGTTGCAGCTCGAATCATTTTATAATCAAGTTGCAGTGACTCTACGGTTGTTATATCATTTCCTGTTGCACAATAAAAGTCTTAGTAATCAGAAAAATAATAAAAGAATAGTCAATTACGTAATCAAACCAATTAAGATTGTTTATCATTCGAAACTTTTACCATCAAAGGTTGGTTCAGTATCAGAAGTCTTCTTTGCCCTTTTTGCAAGGAAACAATAACCAGCTATCAAAAGCAGAGCAACCACTGTAATAGGCACAACAATGGCTACCACCAACACATTTGAATTTCCACCTTTCCCTGTTTTTCAAACATTATTTGCTTAAGATCAGACAAAGACAATGGCAAACGATAATATAATTGAAATTCTGTCAAAAGAATGAAATTTTCTATTTTGCTATTACTGTAACTTCAAGAAATTAAATCACTGAAGAAAACAGAGGAATTGAAGAAAAAGTTTACCATGTAGTGAAGGAGCTGGAGCTGGAGCTGGAGCCGGCGATGGTAGTGGTGGTGGTGATGGTAGTGGACCTAGTGGTGTTCCAATGGCCGTTCCGTTGTAGAATGAGTAAAGCTCGTACCTAGCATTACAGCTAGGATAAACAAATCTTCCACCAACTGCGTAAAGATGGATACTATTGATAGAACTTTGCAAACAGCTCAAGCAGTCTTGTCTTGTAAGATCAGGAGTGCATTGAAGCAGCCCATACAAAGTCTGGACTGGGGTTAACACGGTCTCTAACGTATAGAATTTTCTAGAACTGTTGGCTGTTACGACGGCAGCTTGGTTCATTGTGGACGACACCGAAGCTACGAACGAGTCTCTTTGATTAGAAGAAATATTGTTGGGGTTCGTCATGATTAATCCTCCGTCGTATGTAACCGTCGATAGTATATTCTTGTCAGAGTATCTGAGTATGCACTCCTCGTAATAGAACACGGCTTCTCTTTTATCCGGACACCGATTAAAGGTGTCGTTGGCGGCAAAGGCTACGCAGCTACGGCAAACTTCAGGCGAGAAGTCTCCGCGACAAAGGAAAAGTCCGGTGACCCTGTCGGGGGCTTTTCCTGCCGTGGCGTTTTGGAATCCGGTGGAGTAAGAGGCGTTACGGGAAGAAATGTTAGGATATGTATATTTCCATCTCTACCCTTGTATACCCTAGTACTCTTTGTAACTCTATATATTGATGTCTCTAATATGAGAGGAGACACGGCAATTCATTATCCAATATGGTATCAGAGCCTTTGCTCTTCTAAAAACACTCTTTTCGTCTCCTCTTTCTCTCTTCATCTCCCTTCTTTTTCATCTTTTCGTCTCCCTTCTTCTTCATCCTTTTCTCTTCATCTTCCTTCTTCCTCCAAGCAATCCTCTTTCTTGTTAATCATCTCTCATTCTCTCTATTCTCAACGATGGCCCTTACTCCTCCCACCAATGACAAACCATTCTCTATAAGCCAAATCAAAGCTTACGTACCCATCACTCTTGACATGACCAAACTCAATTATGATACATGGAGAGAGCTTTTTGAAACACATTGTAGCAGTTTTGGTGTTCTTGGTCACATCGACGGCACCTCCTCCTCCACACCGGAAACTGAAAAGTCATGGAAGGAACACAACGATCTTGTCAAGATGTGGATCTACGGGACAATTACGGAGTCCATCCTCGAAACTGTTCTCAAACCAAAGTGCTCCGCTCATGACCTTTGGACTGCCATCGAAAGCTTGTTTCGTGATAACAAGGAAGCACGCGCTATGCAATTAGAGAATGAACTGCGAACCACAGTTATTGGAGATCTATCTGTTCATGAATATTGTAAGAAGCTCAAGTCCATCTCCGATCTCCTTGCGAATGTTGATTCACCGATCTCCGAACGTGTCTTAGTGATGCACATCCTCAATGGCTTGTCAGACAAGTTTGATAGTATCATCAACGTCATCAAACACAAATCGCCTTTTCCGGGTTTCATTGAAACACGGTCGATGCTACAAAGCGAGGAAGATCGACTATCGAAGCACGTGAGGTCTGTCCCTAGTAGCGCTCCTCCTTCTGCTTCTTCTTCTTCACCTACTCTTCTCTACACTTCATCGGAGCCATCCCAGAATCATCCTTCTACTCACGGTTCCGGTAACCACTCCTACTCCAATAATTCTAATTATGGTGGCAATCGTGGCAACCGTGGCAATCGTGGTCGTGGCCGTGGCGGTCGCGGATATCGAGGTCGTGGAGGTCGTTTCTACAACAACAATTATTGGCAGCCTCCTTATCCATCATGGCCTTCTCCTCCTTACGCTTCTGCACCACCTCCTCCATTTCATGGATACTCCGGCTACTCAGCTCCTCCTCGTCATGTCTCCATGATGCAGCCTGGTCTTCTTGGTCCTACACCACTAAGGCCGCATTATGAAGCCCACACCTCTCATCTCATGTCTCCCTCACCACCACAACATACATTGCTTCCGGCTCAAATCACTCATGCTTTCAATACTATGTCTCTCCAAGATCCGACGGATGCTCAGTGGTACATGGACAGTGGCGCGACTAATCACATCGCTTCTAGCGCAGGTAACCTCTGTCCTACTTTTAATTCGAGCTTTATACCTGCTCTTACCGTTGGCAACGGATCCTTGGCTCGAATCACGACTGTTGGACAGGGAAATCTAATCACTCCTTCTCGATCTTTTCAACTAAACAATGTTCTCGTTTGTCCTTCCATCATTAAAAATCTACTTTCTGTTCGTAAATTTGTTACAGATAATTCTTGTTCTATTGAGTTTGATCCTTTTGGTTTTGTTATTAAGGATCTACGTACTCGGAACAAACTTCTCCGATGTGACAGCTCCGGTCCTCTATATGCGGTTCCTTCCTCTACAAATACTTCTCTGCCTCTTGCTCTCTCCGTGTCTTCTGTTGACGGATCTCTTTGGCATCGTCGTTTGGGTCATTGCTCTTCTTCTACTCTTAAACACATTCTCTATTCTCTCTCTTTACATTCTAATAAGACTGCTTTGACGGATTTGTGTCAAGCTTGTCAACTTGGGAAACATGTTAGACAACCTTTCTTTTCTTCTACTACTACAGTTTTTCGTCCTTTTGATATTGTGCATTCTGATATTTGGACTTCACCAATTCCGAGTATTAGTGGGATCAAATATTATCTTATTTTTCTCGACCATTTTTCTCATTTCGTTTGGATCTATCCTTTACATCGTAAAAGTGATACTTTGTCCAAATTTATTCATTTTTCTACTTATGTGCAGACTCAATTTCATTCCAAAATCAAAATGTTACAATGTGACAATGGTGGAGAGTATGACAATCGGGCGTTTCATCAATACATGGATTCCATGGGGATGCAATTCCGTTTTTCGTGCCCTTACACATCACAACAAAATGGCCGTGCTGAACGTATGCTTCGTACCATAAACAACCTCATTCGTACGCTTCTTATCCAAGCATCAATGCCACTGGCGTATTGGGTCGAGGCTTTACATACGGCTGTCCACATCATCAACCTTCTCCCATCTTCTGCGATTCATGACGAAGTTCCCTTCACCAAGTTGTTTAACAAAGAAGCACGATACTTGCACCTCCGTACTTTCGGTTGTCTTTGTTACCCGAACATGTTGCCGACTTCTCTTCACAAGTTGGCTCCCCGCTCCACTCCGTGTGTCTTCTTGGGCTACCCTACCGATCACCGCGGCTATCGGTGTCTTGATCTCACTACCCGACGTGTCATACTCTCCCGCCATGTTACGTTCAACGAGTCTGTTTTTCCTTTCTCTATTTCCGACTCTCCTCCATCTAAACCCGACGACGTGGCCATTCCGCCCATCATTCGTCCTCGTATTGCTCAGCCGTCTCCTCCTCCTCCACCATCACCATTACCTTCTCCTCCTCCTTCACCATCACCTTCTCCGTCGCCATCTCCTCCTACAATCTCTAATCCTCCTATGGTAATTCCTTCTCACACTTCTACTTCTACTCATCCAATGCAAACTCGTAGTAAAAGTGGTATCTTCAAACCACGACAACCATTGTGTCTTCACACCGATACTTCTATTTCTCCCCTTCCACTGTCACATATTCAAGCAGCCAAGGATGGTCGTTGGCATAATGCCATGACGGAGGAATATAAAGCTCAAATTAAAAGTGGTACGTGGGACCTTGTGCCCCGTCCAGTTGCTACTAATATCATTCGTTCTATGTGGATTTTCAGGCATAAATTCAAGGCTGACGGTACCCTTGCTCGTTACAAGGCCCGTCTTGTTGCTAATGGACGGTCTCAACAAATTGGTGTCGATTGTGACGAGACATTCAGCCCGGTGGTCAAACCGGCTACCATTCGGACGGTTCTTGACGTGGCTACTGCTCGTGACTGGCCGCTTCACCAACTCGACGTTAAAAATGCCTTCCTCCATGGTGACCTTGAAGAGACGGTCTATATGTATCAACCTCCGGGATTCGTCGACCCGACTAAACCTGATCATGTATGTCTTCTAAAGCGTTCTTTATACGGGCTTAAGCAAGCTCCTCGGGCTTGGTTCTCTCGGTTCGCCGCCTATGCTAAGAAGATTGGTTTCAAACAAAGCAAGTCTGATTCATCTCTCTTTATTCTCTCCACTGGTACAGCCATCGCTTACTTGCTTCTTTACGTTGATGACATCGTCTTAACCGCCTCGCAACCAAGTCTTCTTCAAACGATTATTGATCGTCTAAGTTCTGAATTCGAGATGACTGATCTTGGTGCTCTCCATCACTTTCTTGGCATTTCTGTTTCCCGCGATGCTCACGGTCTATTTTTACATCAACAAAACTACGCGGCTGATATACTTCACCGGGCTCAAATGACTAATTGCAATCCGGTTCTCACTCCTGTCGAGGTTGGTTCTAAGCTTGCTGCAGCTGATGGTCCTAAGGTTGCTGATCCTACTCTCTATCGCAGCTTAGCAGGGGTGCTTCAATATTTGACATTTACCCGTCCCGACATCTCTTATGCGGTGCAACAAATTTGCTTGTTTATGCACGACCCTCGTGAATCACATTTCCACGCTCTTAAGCGCATTCTACGGTATGTCAAAGGTACAATCTCCCATGGGCTTCATCTTTACAAGTCTTCATCTCTGAATCTTGTCGTTTATTCCGATGCTGATTGGGCTGGTTGCCCCTCCACTCGCCGTTCTACCTCCGGCTTTTGTGTCTTCCTCGGCGACAATTTAGTGTCTTGGTCATCGAAACGCCAACCCACTACTTCTCGCTCTAGTGCGGAGGCTGAATATCGCGGTGTCGCTAACGCAGTCTCTGAGGCTACATGGCTCCGTACTTTGTTACTTGAGATGCATATCGCGATTCCTAAGGCAACGATCGTTTATTGTGATAATGTTAGTGCCATCTACATGTCTTCCAATCCTGTTCAACATCAACGAACAAAGCATATAGAGATCGACATACACTTTGTTCGAGAACGTGTTGCTCTCGGGGAAGTCAAGGTTTTACATGTTCCTTCTGCTCATCAGTTCGCTGACATATTCACTAAGGGTCTACCATCTCCGCTTTTTACGTCTTTTCGAACCAGTCTTAGCATTAGACCACCCGACGCTAAGCCTGCGGGGGGGTGTTAGGATATGTATATTTCCATCTCTACCCTTTGATGTATACCCTAGTACTCTTTGTAACTCTATATATTGATGTCTCTAATATGAGAGGAGACACGGCAATTCATTATCCAATAAGAAAGAGAGGACAAAAGGGTTCTGAGATTGGTAAAGTAAGTGCTGTTCATTGAGTAATTTGTCGTAGTTAGACAGCCCCCATTTAGGTAATAAGGTTTTTGAGCAGAAGCTTTGAAGCTAGTGAGGAATGAGAAAAGGAAAAGGAAGATGAAAGAGATCAGAGAAGACATGGTGCGAGTTTCTTGATTTGAGTTTCATATCATAGAACTCCCATTTATAAAGTGAATAGTTTTCTTCTCTCTCTGACTACTACTGCTGAATGCTGATTAACGTGAAGTAGAAGATGGTTTGTGACAACGATAAGTCAATCAAAATCAATAAGTCAAAGTAAACGATTCTTTTTTTTTTTTTTGAGAAATTTGGTTCCATAGCTCAAAAAAATTAAAAAGTAGACTAAACGATTACTCGGATATCATCTAGCTAGTATGGTTTAAGATAGTAGATTAGTAGACCCTCTATTTATGATATGATACAATACCTACTTTTTTAACTCTTTAAATGTGTTGTTACCTTTGTAAATGCCATGGTTTGAAACTTGTGATACACATTTGTGATAGCTAAACACTATTTGTTAACCCACAAATTCAAATGTGGTCTGTCTTTTGAGTCGGTGCCATTTAACCTAACCGGAACGGAAAACCTTGGTTAGAGTTTACATGGCACACGTACAAACAATATTGTGCAGCAACAGAAATGACACTTCAGATAACAAAGAAGAAGAAACAGAGAACAAAAAAATACTGAATGTGTGTACGTCTTTTAGTAATTGTGTGGCTATTAGAGTTTTTTTTTTATGAAAGGACATACATATTATAATGAACCTATAATTGCAACGAAGATTAACACTCGTGATCGATGCATCATCAATGGAACAAGCAAACGACATGGTAGTAGACGGACCAGGCTTCAATCTCTCAAATAATGGGTTTGGCTCGGAATTGACTCTAAAGACAAATCCAGGTGACTGAGGCACTGGCAGAGTAAGAAAAGTATTAGTGAGCATCTGAAATACTATGGACGTGGTTGGACGATCTCCAGGATTTTCTTCAACGCACAATAAGTTTATATGGATATATCTGATGACTTCATCTTTATCATAACTCTCCCCCATGGCCGGGTCTATGAGTTCCAAGAATGATTCGTTGTTCCAAAGCCTCCAAACCTGTAAGTCATTTGTGAAGAAAATTCAGACGAGGTTACATAAAGAAAGTGATAGGAAAATGATACGTGAATGAAATTTCGTCAATTGATTTGGAAAAATCAGAAGCATTAACTATCAAAGACGAAGATGAGACAAAATACAAAGACTTATTAGCTACTTCACAGTTATTATCTCTTTGGTATTTATTTGATCTTCGCATTGCCTCCAAATTTTATACATGACAATTACATAAATGAGGAAAATGATTGCTACAAATTGAGTAATTTTCTTACATGAAACCAATTTTTTAGTCCGAGCAATCTAACTTGTAACAGAGTTGCAAAAGCAGCAATCAATGGATCCCTTAACAGAGTGAGCGAAAACAGAGGATTCGTAAAAGCTGACTCGGAACGAGAGAGAATGAACCATCAATTTCCGGTTTACAATTACATGCTGCTGGTTTAGGGGATTAACCGGGTTGGGTTCCATTCATATCACAATTTCAGCGAAAGATTTGTGTAGAGTCGCATAATTTATTCAAGTCACAACTGACATCGAGAAACGGTTAGGTGGCCTAATATATAGGACCGGTTTAGTCAGTAAAACCGGTTTGGATATTATTATACATCAATTATCAGAAGAAAGAGTCCCTGGTGTATTTTGCTTACATACAAATCGGAAGAATGATTTCACAACAGGTCCAATGTCTCAATGGAACGTCGACTTCAACGAGGATCAAGATCAGTAATGGTTACATCATTCATAGTTTGGGAATTGGACCGGTTCGTAGACTGGCTAGACTCGAGGCCATCTCGTTCTTGGTTGCTTCTATTTGGAAAGAAGAATCCAGGTTGTTGAGGATCTGGTAAGTTAAGGGAATTGTGAGTGAACATCATGTGGATTGTCGACAAGCTCGGGTGATCAGTGGGATTTTGTTGAACACATAGCAATGCAATGTGGATGCATCTTGTCACTTCTTCGGTTTCACAATTCTCTGAAATGGTTGGATCCACGAGTTCTAATGGTGACCCGTTTCTCCACAACCTCCAAGCCTGTAACATAATTTAGTTATCAATCACAGTTTCTCATATTTGTTGGTTAAACATAACCATCAATCAAGAACAGAGTTGGTACTATTACAAATCAGAGAAACGATGAAGAAGACGATGGAGAAAGTTTGTTAGCGGAAAGAGAAATTCTCCATAATTCCTTAATCATAAAAGCTGTACAATTGTGTTGTTATATACAAGTGTAGTAAACCGAAATAAACCAGCTAATTTAACTAAACCGGATAATCAACGCCAATAGTCCCCCTCAAGAGGAGGCGAAAATGTTGTGAAGACTCATCTTGGATAGTAAGTGAGCAAACTGATGAGGAAAGAGAGGTTTGGTTAAAATGTCAGCAATTTGATCTTCAGTGTTGACATGTAGAAGCTTGAGCTGACCATTATCTAACTTCTCTCTCACGGTATGGCAATCTATCTCAATGTGTTTTGTTCTTTCGTGAAATACCGGGTTAGTGGCAATATAGACGGCTGCAGTGCTATCAGAATAGAGTATGGGAACTGAAGAAAGAACCCTTAAAGCTGATAACAGAGTGGTCAGCCAGGCCATTTCACAAGAAGCCAAAGCTAATGCCCGATACTCTGCCTCTGCAGAAGACCTGGAGACTGTAGGTTGTTTCTTGGAACGCCAGGAGATCAAAGAGGAACCCACAAACATTGTGAAACCTGTTGTGGATCGTCTACTGTCTGGACAAGTGCCCCAGTCTGCATCAGTGAAGCCCTTCAAGGTGAGATCCGGGTCTGCAGAATAGAACAGGCCTTGACCCACAGTGCCTTTAATGTACTGTAACACCTTATACACTGCTGTGAGGTGAGCTGTCCGAGGAGCTGAAGAGAACTGACAAAGCTTATTCACAGCAAAAGTGATATCAGGTCTCGTGATAGTCAAATACATGAGCCGTCCTACAAGACTCCTATACATTTCTCTGTCTTCTAAGAGAATGCCATCATGTTTTGACAGTCTTAAATTTGGTGTCATAGGAATGGAAGATGATTTGCAGTCTAACATTCCAGCAAAGGTAAGCAACTCTAAAGCATATTTTCTTTGGCATAGAGAAATACCTTTAGAAGTGCGAGCAACCTCCAGACCCAAAAAATATTTCAGAGGTCCCAATTCTCTCAACTTAAAACTCTCCTTTAAAGCCTCTGTCAGTGAAGTTGCAGCAGCCTCTGTAGTGCTAGCAATCACTATATCATCGACATAAACTAGGACTGCAACAAACTCACAACCATGACTCCTGACAAATAGAGTATGATCACCATGTTGCTTAACAAATCCCAATTTTAAAAGAGAATCTGAGAACTTTAAAAACCATTGCCTGGATGCTTGTTTAAGACCATAGATCGACTTCTTTAGGCGACAAACAGCATTAGGAGGCAAATGGTCCCCCTTAATATCAGCATATCCTTCTGGAAGTTTCATGTAGATGTCTTCTATCAAATCTCCATTCAGAAAAGCATTAGAAATGTCTAATTGATTCAAGAACCATTTCTTAGATGCTGAGACTTTCAATAACAGCTTAACAGTAGCCATTTTAGCAACTGGAGAGAAGGTTTCAGTGTAGTCTAGACCTTCTTTCTGAGTATACCCTTTAGCCACTATTCTTGCTTTGTACCTTTCCAAGCTTCCATCTGCATGAAATTTCACAGTAAACACCCATTTACACCCAACTGCCTTCTTTCCAGGTGGTAAAGTTGTGATTTCCCAAGTATTAGTTCTTTCCATAGCACCAATTTCTGTATCTATTGCTCCACACCATTCCTTGGAATCCTTTGCCTCAGAAAATGATTGAGGGATTGGAATTTTGGAGATGTTATTAATGTATAACATATGTGATGGAGTGATTTTAGAATAAGAAAGAGAAGATGAAATGGGATGAGAGACTTCAGTGTTAAGGGAATAACAATGATAGTCTTGTAAATGAGCAGGGAATTTCTTTACTCGTGAATGAGAAATTTGTGTTTGTGGAGAAATTTGTGGTGATGGAAGATGAGAAATGGTGGAATCTGAAGACAAAGGAACCATAGGTGTGAGCATACCTGCAGCATCAGAAGCTGACTTCTTAGCATCACTCATAGGAAAAACTTCTTCATGAAACTCAACATTTCTTGATATAAAAACCACATTGCTGTCCAAATCTAACAGTTTGTAACCCTTGAATCCAGAGGGATAACCCAAAAACAGACAGGCTCTGGCTCGTGGTTGAAATTTGTGCCTCTGTTTTGGAGAAGTAGAAGCATAACATAAACAGCCGAAAGTTCTTATTTGAGAATAGTCTGGTGCATTACCTGTAAGCAGTTCAAAAGGAGTCTTGTTAGATAAAACTGCAGAAGGAGTCCTGTTGATCAAGAAAACTGCTGTTAGTATGCATTCTCCCCAGTAAGGCAATGACATGTTTGACTGAAACATCAATGCTCTAGCAACATTGAGTATGTGCTGGTGCTTTCTCTCAACCACTGAGTTCTGCTCTGGTGTCTCTGGGCAAGAATGAAATGAAACGATACCCTTAGCTTTGTAAAACTCTGTGAAACTCAACTCTTTAGCATTATCTGAGCGCACTGATTTTACTTTGGTATTAAACTGATTTTCAACTTGACTGATGAAAGCAGGAAACACTGTGAGAACCTCATTTTTAGTCTTGAGTAAATAAACCCACGTTGCTCTGGAGTGATCATCAACTATAGTTAAAAAATACTTAAAACCATCAACTGTTTCCACTGAAAATGGTCCCCAAACATCAATGTGTAACAACTCAAAAGCTGAATTACAAATGTTTTGACCAGACTGAAAGGACAACTTCTTTTGTTTGGCTAAATGACAAACATCACAGTAAGCTGCCTTCTTATTCTTGTGTCTTGTAGTTCCCAAAACTTCAGAAATAGTATCCAACCTTGAATAAGATGGGTGTCCAAGTCTCTTGTGCCACATATTCACATCCACTGTAGCATTCACTGATATTGCAGTAGACTGAGTATCCAACACATAGAGATTTCCAATCCTTCTACCCTCTCCAAGCATCGACCCCTTGGTAAGATCCTGAATTTGACAACAAACAGGATCAAAGATCACTCTAGAGCCAAGATCAGTTGTCAAAGAACTTATACTGATAAGGTTTAATCTGAATTCTGGAATAAATAAGACATTCTTGAGAATAATGTCCTTATTTATTCTAATAATGCCCACTCCACTGATCTTAACATTTGGACCTGTTGGAAGATTCACAAAACTCAAAACAGCAGTGTCGAGTGATAGAAACATAGCTCTGTCATGGGACACATGATGTGTAGCCCCAGAATCAATGACCCATGTATCATTAGATAATGAGTTTTGGGAAACTGCCAGGATGCCAATAAAGCTATATGTGGAAGGGGAAAATGAGATACCAGAGTGATCTAAGGGTGACTGAGAAGAACTGGCTTCAACGGCGCTAGAGACATTCTGAGTCTGAAGTTTAGAACTGAAAAGAGCTATCAGATTGTTTATCTGATCCTTAGAGAGATTACCAACCAGATTTTCAAGATGAACTGGGGACTGAGACTGATCTGGAAGAGAGGAGACAGTGACTTGAGCTGCCACTGGGTGAGACTTAAGAATCTTATCAGAAGCTTTACCTTTGGGAGTGAATCCAGGAGGAAATCCATGTTTTCTGTAGCATCTTTCTGCGATGTGACCAACCCTGTTGCAGTATGAACAAATGGGACGACCTTTATTTGGCCCATTTTGAACATACATGACTGTAGGTGGAGCAGTAGGAGAGCTGTTCAACTCGGAGACCTGAAAAGCTGCAGGAGGAGCTACAATATTGGAGAAACCCTTCTGGCTGTTATCCTGATCCAAAATATGATAAACTTCTGCAAGACTGGGTAGAGCCTTCTTTGCAATGATCTGCCTGCGAACAATTGCATATGACTCGTTTAATCCAGCCAAAAACTTCACTATCTTAGCTCTCTCTGCCTTCTGATGCAGACGAGCAGCCTTACCACACGTACAGGGATCATCAAGGTCCTCTGTACTGTCAAGTTGATCCCACAATGTTTTCAAAAGAGTATAGTATTCAGATAAAGACATAGATCCTTGACGAAGATCCTGGATCTCTTGCGTCAAGTTATAGGTGCGTGGTAAATTAGTCAGATGAAAACGACTGAATAAATCACGCCAGATATCCACAGCATCGTTCATACGCAAGATACTGCGGTAGATCTGAGGAGAAACTGAGTTCAGCATCCATGACTTAACCATGCTGTTACATCGGGACCATAGACGGAAATTACTATCTGATTCAACAGGACGAGGGAGAGATCCGTCTATGAATCCAAGTTTATTCTTAGCATCCAACGAGATTCGCATAGCAACACTCCAATCACCATAATTTGTTTCATCTAAACGGTGAGAGATGATATTCAAACCTGGATGATCAGCACTATGCATGAAGAACGGAGACTGAGTCGGATCTTCAGATCCTGATGAAACAACACCTCGCGAAGCTCCAGAAACCCGAGAGTTGGCACCTGAAGGAGAATCCGGAGGTGAATCTGCAACACCAGTAGATCGCGACGTTTTCCGAGCAGCTGAACTCGCCGACGCCTTGGAACGAGCTGATTTTCGAGTCACACGAACTCCAGACACCATCGGAAAGTATGAATCTGGTAGAAAGAGGAGAGTATCGAGAAATCAAACTCAGAAAAGGAGAAAAACGATGCGAGATCAACAGAAATTTGAGCTTGATGGCTCTGATACCATATTACAAATCAGAGAAACGATGAAGAAGACGATGGAGAAAGTTTGTTAGCGGAAAGAGAAATTCTCCATAATTCCTTAATCATAAAAGCTGTACAATTGTGTTGTTATATACAAGTGTAGTAAACCGAAATAAACCAGCTAATTTAACTAAACCGGATAATCAACGCCAATAGGTACTCACGTATGTGACCAAATTCTCAACTGTAGTGTCAGACTGGTGGGCGAATCTGTTATTTCGACCGTATATAAATCTCAAGAACTAAGACTCCAAAACTATAAATGAGTCTTTGAGCCAAATCAACCGTAGTGTCAGACTCACTTTTAGTTGCAAATTTCTTGGTACATGCGCTTTTCTCCTCATACAAAGAGCCAACCCTAGAACAAGCATCACGCTGATCATGAAGGTGAGACCAACGATGATTCCGATAATTCCTGCGAAATCCCCAGTATTGTACAGCTTGGAACTTGATTCCATCTCGAGTGATCTAAAGAATGAACAGTTAGAGTAACGTATCATACAAGAAATCTTCTCGAAGAACCAGAAGACGCCTTCTTTCTGGTTGGGACATTTCTCTATCAAACCAATAAGAAGCAAGGTTGATACAGACATACAGTTGGAGCAAACATCTTGCTTAGCACCTTAGATGAATACACCCAATCGGAAACAGAGGCATTGTAGAAACCGTCTTGAGCTAAGACATTAGAAGCGAGAGAAGAGAGGAGAAGGCCACGGTTTATAGGGTCTGAAGAAACCAGTTTTCCGCATTCTTGTGCAGACACAACAAGCCAAAAACAGAAGACTGGCAAAAGATTCTTCGGTTTCATTTTCAATATCATGCAGATTTTGTTTGAGTTAGGAAAGCAAGCAAGTGTGTGTACATTGAACACCTCTGTCTATTGGGTTGACTAATGTGCAATTTCTGTTTTGAGTCAAGCGTACAAAGATAGTTGCAATTATATGAATGTATCATATGGCTCCAAGAAGAACACGTTGTAGAATAAAGATAGTTACATAATCTCCTAGGTGTAAATTAAAGATACATAAATGAAGCAAATAAACAAAACAAAAATTGGCTATGAGAAAAGCCAATAACATTAGTGACATAAAGCAGAGTAACACTATCAAAGACTGAAGTAAAATAAAGACAAAATAAGAAGACTCATTAGCTGCTTCACAATTCTTATCTCTTTGATCGTAAGAAATTGAGTTACTTTATTTCGATGAAACCACTTTTTCAACGCAGCAAGCAATGGAGTCTACACACTAATTAAAACGTAGCAAATGATAAAGACTTTGTATGTAAACTTTGATCGAGTTTATATCTCATATATCATACCGTTTTAATGGAACTAATGTCTCAACGTAATCTCAACTTCAACGAGGTTCAAGATCTGTAATAGTTACATCAGAGATAGTTTGGGGGTTGGACCAGTTCAATGTGGATGCATCTGTTGTATATGCACTGGTAAAGTCACAGTATTACTAGTGAGCATCATGAAAATGTTCGACAAGATCGGACGCTCTGCAGGATCTTTTTGACCACTAACACATTTGAATTCCCACTTTTCCCTTTTTCCAAAGATCATTTGCTTAAGATAAGAAAATAGTAGACGAATAACAAAACAAAATTGAAAATTCTGTCATAGAATGAATCTTTTCCATATTAGTATTGCTAAGATCAAGTAAACAGAGGAAAAAACAGAGGAAGAAGAAAGTGTTCACTGTTCACTAGATAGTGAAGGAGATGTCACTGCCCTGGAAACCGCAGAGGCGGCGGTGGTGGTGATGGTGTCTCAATGGCGGTTTCGTTGTAGAACGCGTAAAGCTCGTACCTTGAATTACAACTTGGCCAAAACTGTCTTGCTCCAATTCTAGAAAGTGGCATTCTATTGATGGAGCTTGTCAGACATCTCATGCAGTCTTGTCTTGAAAGATCAGGAGTGCATTGAACAAGCCCGTACAAAGTCTGGAGTGCGGTCAATTCGGTCGTTATCGTAGAGAATTTTCTAGAACTTTTGGCTGCTTCCATGGCAGCTTGGTTCATATTAGATAACACCAAAATTATAAACTGGTTTATTTGTTTTTGAATAGGAGAAATATTATTGGTGTTACTCAAGATAAATTCTCATTCGTTTGTAATGGTCGTCGATAGAATATTCTTGTGAGAGTATCTGAGTATGCACTCCTCGTAATAGAACACAGCTTCTCTCTGATTTGGTCACCGAGTTAATGTTTCGTTAACGGAGAAGGCGACGCAGTTACGGCAAACTTCGGGCAGAGGTCTCCGCGGCAAAGGAAAAGTCCGGTGACCCTGTCAGGGGTTTGTCCCACCGTGGCGTTTTGGAATCCGGTGGGATAAGAGGCGTTGGGGAAAGAGAGAGAGGACAAAAGGGTTTTGAGATTGGTGAAGTAAGTGCTGTTACTTGAGTAAGTTGTCGTATTTGGACAATTATGATTTAGGAAATAATGATCTTGAGCAGAAGCTTTGAAGCTAGTAAGGAATGAGAAAAGGAAAAGGAAGATGAAAGATATAAGACAAGACATGGTTTTTTCTTCGAGTTCCTTGATTTGAGTTTCACATCAAGGAGCTTCCATATATAAACTGTAAATTTTTCTTCTCTCTCTACGATAAGTCAGTGGTTTGTGACGAGTGACTACGATAAGTCAGTCACTCAATCGAAGTCAATGTAAACGGCTATGTTGAAATTCCCTTGATTTTAGCTTTAGTAATTGTGGCTATTAGAGTTTTGTGTAATGAAAGGATATACATATTATCATTAGGGTATTAACCTCTAATTATATTTCACCGATAATTAACACTCGTGATCGATGCATCATCAATGGAACAAGCAAACGACATGGTAGTAGACGGACCAGGCTCCAATCGCTCGGCTAATGTGTTTGGCTCGGATCTGACTCTAAAGACAAATCCAGGTGACTGAGGCACGGGCAGAGTAAGAAAAGTATTAGTGAGCATCTGAAATACTATGGACATGGTTGGATGATCTGCATGATATTCTTGAACGCACAATAAGCTTATATGGATGCATCTGATCACTTCATCTTTATCACAACTCTCCCCCATGGCCGGGTCTACGAGTTCCAAGAATGATTCGTTGTTCCAAAGCCTCCAAACCTGTAAGTAATTTGTCAAGAAACCAATGTTCATGGCCATGGTCACAGTTTAAAGAGGTAAAAAATAAGTTCAAGATTGCATTGGCTTTGTAGTATTAACATATGTGACTAAGTTGCCTACTGAACCATCAATCTCTTGGAAGCTACTACTCTTTTTGCCAACAATAATCTCTAGAATCAATACTCCAAAACTGTAAACATCAGATTTCATCGAGAACTGCCCATTCGCCACATATTCGGGAGGCATGTAACCGCTGCAAAAGACAGCATATATCATCAATTTGATGCCACATTCAGTTGTTGTACTTCTTGGTATGCCTGCTTATAGACCTATCCGGATCACACTTCTTCTCACTGATGTTCCTGTTAAGATTGGTGAATGTCTAATACCCGCTGATTTGTGGTCTCCCAAAGATCCTCTTATCTTGGGTAGAGCTTTCTTAGCCAAAGCTGGTGTTAAGATAAATGCGAAGAAGGGACAGATATCGCCGAATGTATGCGATATGGAGATGAATTTTGACATGGATGGATCGAGAGCACTACCAACCGTCAATAGTAAATCCTTCTTTGATGAGACTTCCAAGAAGACTGCAAAAGAATTGGGTTTAACCACTACAACAGAGGCTGAAATTAATCAGTCTTCAAACAAGAGTCGTTCAGTGGTACTGGTGTCGACCGAATGCAGGGAAGAAGGAATTTGATCGATATCTCTCAATTTTCACTTATCTTAAATTGGGGATTTGATTTTGGGAAAAGAGGGAAAAGGGACAATTCGGTTTTTTGTTGGATTTGTTTGGGCCGGATGGCTTGGATCAAAATTGATCAGATTGAGAATAATGGATCTTTTTTCCAAGGGGTTTTGGTCTTTTCATAATAGTTTGATTTATATATCTTTAAATTTTATTTTCGTAGAAATTAGAAATTAGAAAGGTGGCATTTTAGGTTTTTCCCCAGATAGTGGCTTTCTAGCCATTGTTCCACAAATGGAATAGTTAACAATGACTGTGAAGATTAAAATTTCAGACATAGACAGACGCGGAATATAAGACCTTAAAACCATATGATGAGTGTAAGAAAGGATCAACTTCAAAAACAACACCAAACCACTCAATCTTTCCCCAAATCTCGCCTCCCTTGCATCTCTCCATGGAAATCTCGGCACACCAAAGGTCCAAACTCTGCGCAATCCAAAAGATAACAATGTTTCCAGCAGAATTGCTGCAGAGTTTGTTGATATTAAAGGAATATCTCGAACTAGAGAGAGAGTGTTGCAAATCTTCCAAGCCTTTAACTTCCTTCCAATCCAATTCATTTAGCTCACACCATAAGATTTTTCCGCGAGTACCGCGACAGTACAATAGTTTATCAATGATACACCAATCCTTTGTGTTTACTATCTCATCGCTTGGCAAGATGTAGAATCTTCGATCTTTCTCATTCAACGCGAAAATCTTCTTCACCTCTATAGCCAAACTCTGGTGTATAATTTTATTTTGTGGTATCTCAAAATCCCAATTGTGGGTCAAAAACATGAAAGGAGCCCAAGTTTGAGTCTCTCGATCAAATACCTCTGCCCATATATGGTCATGAGCGTAATGCTCGGACCCTCCAAACACGTATATATTCCCGTCTACGAAGCATGCCGATGCGGAAGCTCGAGGCATATTCATGGACTTGACGCGGTGCCATGTGTGAGAGTAACAATCGAGGAACGACACATCCGTAGTGGGAATGCCGTCGATGAGTCCACCAATTACAAAGATTCCCCCATCCACCACAACGAAAGAAGATGAATCCGGAGGCTGGTAAGGATTTGACTGGATCGGGTTCAGTCGTCTATTAGGGGTAAGAATGAACCACCGTGGAGTTGGGTTAGGAAAGACTTTCATGCATACGTACATAGACACGTCGGTGCAACCCATCTCCCATCTCAAGTAGAAGAGCTCAGTGGAAGCTACGAGAGAGCGGTGGCTCTTGGAGACGAGAGATAAGGCCGCGTGGTCAAATCTCGAAACACGAGCCAAGCATCTCAGAGCTATCTCATCCGGTAACAACGATAACCCAGACCACGAGTGAGACGTCTCCTTGGTCTTCTTCCTCCTTTTACTTTCCGGTAGGCACTTCTGGAGCGTAACACTCGAACATCGTCAATCCCAATTCACAACAACCCAAAACTCTAGATTTTCCTTTGATTGATTGAGTACTGTCCGTATTCAACTTCTCGAATTTTGTGAGATCTTGCTTTGATCCGTACGTAAACTGTTTTATAGATTTTTTGATGGTTCCTGATCCGACAGAAACTGTTTCATAGAATTTTATGGTTCCTTTTCCAAAACGAAGAAGATTAAAACCCTAATTTCCTTCTTTTTCTTGTAGAAGAAACTAGTCTTCTTTTTTTTTTTTCGAGAATATATACAGTAGTTGACAGAATTTTTTCTCTCCCGAGTTTAATTCAAAGGACAAGTTGGTAAAAAAAAATTAATCCAGAGGGAAAAATTAAAAAAATTCCTCAGGAAGTTAGGGCTACAAATCAATTACACCGCCTTACATTAACGCCCGAGAGATATATAATAATCGAAGTTTTCTTAGTTTTTCTCAATCTCGCATTTTTTTTTGGGTGAATCGAAGCTTGACGAGGATAACCATGGCGACGGCTTCAGGTCGCATTCATTCAATTTTACTTGTACGTTCCTAGCTGGATTTTTGGTTGTTAGTTTCCCTTTAGTGGTCAAGAATTTAGTTCTAATTTCGTATCTTCATCAGAAAGTTAGGGTTTTTAAAACTGATTTGGGGAGGTTTGTATCGTAGATTCTCTTTGATTTGCGATACTTCTTAGACTCTGATTTATTGTTTTCTACGTTTTCTGAAAATCCAGTCGTTGTTCATAGTAAACCTGAGAGATTCTCTCCTTTATGCAACGAAATATTGATCAGAGATTACTTCAGAATTAATGAACAAAAATAATAAACTACATGCATGGATATATTGACTCAGTGTCTAGCTTAACTGTTACTCGGTGAATCAATAGTAGTCATGTCAAGATTTGAAACTTTTCAATGTTTGTTGACATGATCTTGGGGATTTTGCAGTTGCTTTTAAGTCAAGGAAAGATCATAGGAAGCAAATCGAATTAGAGGAAGCTCGTAAAGCTGGGCTTGGTCTAGCTGAGATTGACGAGGATGGAAAAGAAATCAATCCTCACATACCTCACTAAGTCACTATAGATGACATATACCCATGTTAAATGGAGGTTACCTCCGTATATGTCATCTGCTCCATGGTATCTCAAGTCTGAAAAACCGGTAAGCTTAATTCTTCTATCATGGTTCACTTGGTCTCTTCATTGTCTTGGTTGTTCATGCACACTGAATACTCTGTATTTTTATTTTTAGAGTTTGAAGCATCAAAAGAATTGGAAAAGTGATCCTATTTGCACAGACGCATCGTATGACAGAGGTGCAAAGATCTATCAAAAAATTTGAACACTGTAGTACATACCTTTGGTTCAGTACCCGGGATGCACATCCCCACAGCGTACACCCGATCGGAACCTTTTCCAACCGAAGAATTGTAGAAGCCGCTTCGAGCTGAGACATTAGGAGCCAGAGAAGAGAGGAGAAGGCCACGGTTTGTATCAAACTTACCATGGAGTATAAAAAAAACCCGGTTTCCCCGCATTTGTGGGCAGACACGACAGGAAAGCCTACAAGGAAAAACAAGAAGATTGGCAAGAAATTCTTCAGTTTCATTTTCAAGATCATACAGATGTTGTTTGAGTTAGAATAGCAAGCAAGTGTGTATATCTATAAGCATATATCAATGTACATCAATTAAATTTCCATTGCAAGTTGTTCTTGACCCATTGGTCCCTGTGTCTTTTTCAATGTTTATTGGGTTGACTAGTGTGCAATTTCTGCTTTAAGTCAAGAGTAGTCAACAAATTAGTACTTATACAAAGATTGATGCAACTATATGAATGAATCATGTGGCACTCAGAAGAACACGTTGTAGAATCTCCTATGGTGAGATGATGCAACAGTTCTAGCAAACATAAAAATAAACATTTAGACAAAGTAACATAAAGAGCGAAAACAAAATGGTAACGATCATCAATTAATTGGATAAAACAGAGCAAGACAGATACAAGGGCTCATCATCTGCTTCACAATTCTTATCTCTTTGACATGCCTCCAAATTCTATATATGACAGATATGGAAATGAGGAACATGATGGTAAGAAGTGGAGTCATTTACTTTGATGACACCAAATTTTAAAGCAGAGCAATCTACCTAGTAACTCCACTATCCAGAGTGGTGAAAGATGCTCAATGGAGTCTACATAGAAAATATAAACCTAATTTCAGTAATTCCCAAACTGAGTTGAGTGAAAACAGAGAATCCACAAAAGCTGATTTGGGACGAGAGAAGGAGCCATCAGTTACGGTGTAGTAAATTAACCGGTTTGAATGACACTCATACATTCATCAAATTCGTCTAATTTCAGTCACAACTTAGTGTAAGAGAACTTACATGAATATTCAAGTCACAAATGACACAAGTCCTCCGATTGGCTAGACTCGAGGCCATCTCGTTCTTGGTGGTTGAGGAACAGCCTTACAGGTAAATTGAGGATATTTCTAGTGAGCAACAGGTTGATTGTTGACAAGTTGGGAGGATCTGTTGGATTTGGATGCATCTTGTCACTTCTTTGCTCTGATAATTCTCTACAAGTTGGATCCACTAGTTCTAAGGGTGACCCACTTCTCCATACACTCCAAGCCTGGTAACAAAATTTAATGATCAGTCAAGAACTTGCCATTTGGAAGTATACCGTGAAAGAAAATGAACCAAACCCATATTGGTACAAAGTTTCAAACTTTCAAGTGAAGTAACAGAATCAAAAAGTTGCAAAAGTTAGAATACCTTGTAAACTTCACCAAATCCACCTTGACCTAGCCTGTTACTCCTCGAAAACTTATCAGTTGCAGATTCAATCGTCTCATAATCGAATTGTAATGAATGTGTAGCTGTAATATCATCACCAGCTGCACGGCAAAAATGTAACAATTTAAAACTGAAATTCACTTTTTTTTTCTTCCCTTTTTAACATTGTCTCTAGCTGAAGAACAATAAATCACTCTCTCTGATAAAACAGAGCAATTTCAAGACCACATGGAACAACAAAACTCACATTGGAAATCAATTTTTCGCCTCCGGTAAAAAGCAAACAAGAGTGAGCAGCAGCAAGAAGATGGCGATGGTCGCAACCACAATTCCCACAATAGCTCCCACTGAAAGTGAATCGCCATCTACGCAGCCAGTCCACCAGGCACCAGTCACCCAAGTGAAAAATAACATCAAAATTTTACAGTGTTATTCTGTATTCGACCTAATAATACTTTTACCTCCCGTAATTATGAGAAAAAGGTCAAAAATCCTACCAAGAAAAAAAAAGGTCAAAAATTGAACTTCATATCATAAGCTTTGAAAGTCAACATCTAAACTTTGACTTAGGCCGATGAAATTATTTTAAAAATATATAATAAACGAAAAATTAAAGATAATTTGGGCAAAAAAAATGTTGGAAATTTCAAAGACCAAAAAGAAAATCATATGTTTGGGAAATTTCTTCTCATAATTGTCTAACCTCGAAAAGATATTCAACATGTTTTTTAGTTCTAGTGACCAAAAATGAACTCTTGATGTTGTAGGGATAGACCTTTCTTTGTCGCACCTCCATCGTCAGTTAAAGGCACATAAACAATTTTTTTTCTTTTTTTTTGGGCAAACTATAAACAATTTATTATCTAAACGTTTCGGGATCAAAGTGATAGATTGAGAAACGAGATTTCTGGACGTGTGGCATTATCTATCTGTTATTTTGAGGCAACATCAAAAACCAAACCGAACATGCTAGATTTTCAACGAGGCGTAACATAGGTGATTGTTGCTTCATCTACAGAACTAGTAAAAGACTTGCTGCTCGATTGACCCGGCACCAATCCCTGGCTTGACGGGTTCGATCCTGGTCCGTTCCTAAAGAAAAATCCAGGTGGCTGAGGCACAGGCAGAGTAATTGAGCTGGTTGTGAGCACTTGGTGAATAGTAGACATTGTTGGACGATCTGCAGGATTTTCTTGCACACATAACAGCCCAATATGAATGTATCTAATGACTTCATCGCTTTTACAATCTTCTTTGATAACGGGATCTATGAGCTCATGCAATGATTTGTTCTCCCAAAGTTTCCAGACCTGTAGAATAATATATACACTCAGAACTATGGTTACTTGTTTTATAAGAATCAATCAAAAAAAGTTTGGGAGTTTATTAGTTTAGAATTACTCACATATGTGACTAAATTGTTAACTAAACCATCCATCTGGTAGAAGCTGCTATTCTTTTTGCTACTTATGATCTCAAGAATCAATACTCCAAAGCTATAGACGTCTGATTTCATCGAGAATTGGCCATGTGTCACATACTCGGGAGACATGTAACCGCTGCGAAAAAACACAAGTTTATCGGAAGCGAAATTCATTAATTGAACTTCATCAGGTTCATACAAGTTTATACTTACAAAGTTCCAACTACTCTTGCTGTATTGGCTACAGTTTGGTCCACTCCAAAGATCCTTGCCATTCCGAAATCAGCGATTTTCGGATTCATATCCGCATCTAAGAGAATGTTACTTGCTTTGAGATCACGATGTATGATTTTGAGCCGTGAATCTTGATGAAGATATAGAATTCCTCGAGTAATTCCACCGATGATGTTGCGTCGCACTGTCCAGTCCAACTGATTTCTCTTGTTAGGGTCTGCAGATTCATACATAATCGGTTAATCATAGTTAGCTATGTACAAAAAGAAAAACGACAGAAAAAAGTATATCTCGAGTTAGAACTAACGGACCGAAAAGGAAATAATCGAGGCTTTTGTTTGGAACAAATTCATAGACGAGTAACTTCTCTTCTCCTTGGAGCGAAAACCCGAGAAGTCTAACGAGATTTATGTGTTGAAGCTTTGCAACAACAACAACCTCGTTCTTGAACTCTACTTCACCTTGTCCTGATGTTTTGGACAATCTTTTTACCGCAATTTCAGTCCCATTCAAAAGCATACCCTTGAAAATATTTACAAATTAGCACATCCAACTTTTCACAAAAGAAAGTGAGGTGGACAAAGAGCGTATATACCTTGTAAACTTCACCAAATCCACCTGCACCAAGCTTGTTATGCTCAGAAAAGTTGTTCGTTGCTGCTTCAATTGTCTTTAAATCAAATTGAACAGATTCCGCTTCATTTAAAACCACTATTAAGCTCGTTAAAAAGTTCCACTTCAATTTTTAAGGTCTAAAAACCGAAACCAAACAAAGGAAAAAACTCACTTGGAAGTTCAATTTCTTGCTTTTGCTTTCTTCTCTTGCAAATAAACAAGCCTACAATAATCAGTATTATTGTAACAACAATAACAACAACTATCGCCGCGATAATTCCTCCTGAGGTTTTTTTATCTGCACAAAACACAATGCACCAACAACATAAGTCCGCAAAGCCGAAAAACTGTGACAAATTTGCTCTGAAATGTTACCAAAAGGACTTGCCATTCTTCTTGGTTATATTGGTTAGGTTGGGTACAGAGGGCGGTGGAAGCGGGAGTGAAGGAGGCGGTGGGTGTCTGGCATTAATACTATCAAAAGCACCAAAGAAAGTATACAATTCCCACCGGAAAAAGCAACTTGGCCGCAATATAATGGTGCCTCTCTTCCCATAGAACCATTTCTTATAGTAATCAAGACTTCTCTCAAGGCAAAGTTTACAATCCTTTGAAGAAACATCTGGAGTGCATTGCATCACCACCGATATGTTCCCGTAAACCCGTTCAGGAGCTACATCCTTTGCATAATATTTACCAGACAGTGATAAAGAAGAAGAAGTAGACGACGAGTTGTTTCTTACCGATGAAGAAGCTCCTCCGATCATACGAAACATTAACCCGTCCCACACACTATCAAATTCCTTCTGGTCTTCTTTTCTTATGTCATTGATATTGAAGAATTCATTAGACGGCTCCAAGACAAGTAGCCCGGAGAAGGACTTGCTAGAGTAGCGAACAAGGCAAAGGGTTTCTTCACCTGACCATGAGAAAGCGTCGGTCTGGTTCAAACAGATCTGTAGTAATCCCTCTGATGTGGTCTTAATACAGTCGGAGCAAACATCAGGTTTAGCACCTGGAGCGCACATCCCCATGGCGTAGACTCGGTCTGAACCAAGCCCAATCGAACCGTTGAAGTAGCCGTCATGAGCCGTGACGTTAGAAGCTAAGGTGGAGAGGATGAGACGGCGGTTGTTGTCATAAGTACTATTGGGTTTGAAACTACCAGAAGTTTGGTCACACGTTTGTTGAGCAGAAACAGAAATGACACTGAAGCATATAATGAAGAAGAACAAGAAACAGAGGATTGATTCACAACTCTTCTTTGCCATTTTTTGTTTTCTTTAGAAAAGTGTGTGACTGGTGTTTTTGATTACTAGTGGTAGTTCTTATCATTAATATAACCCATAACTTCTGAATTTTCTACTTGAATGACCATGTGGAGTAATAAGACACTGACTATTTTGGATTTTAGGTGGAAGACATAGTTGAATTCTCCAAGTCAATATATATTATTACTGTTTTACCCTTATAAAAGCATATACAAGTCAAAATTGGCCTAAACCTTCTTTTTTGATAAAGGGTTTAATTGGCCTAACTTTCAACGAGGACTAGTGATCGATGGTATAATAGTCAGCACTCGAAATATTTTAGACAAGCTTGACTAATATAGACACTTCAAATTTCCTGAGTGATTATATTTTCTATGATGAATCATTCAACCTGAAAAAATGACTCTTTAACAACTTTTTAAAATACAGATATTAAATAAGTGATAGGGGCCTTTGTTGAGACAAGAAAAAAACATGGCTGAATATTCAACGAGGATTAACATCGGTGATTGTTGCTTCATCTACAGAACAAGCAAAAGACTTGCTGTTCGATTGACCCGGCTCCAATCTCTGGCCTAATGGGTTCAATCCTGGTCCGTTCCTAAAGAAAAATCCAGGTGGCAAAGGCACAGGCAGAGTGATTGAGCTGTTTGTGAGCATTTGGTGAATAGTAGACATTGTTGGACGATCTGCAGGATTTTCTTGAACACACAACAGCCCAATATGGATGTATCTAATGACTTCATCGCTTCTTGTGCAATTTTCTCGGATACCGGGATCTATGAGCTCATGCAATGATTTGTTCTCCCAAAGTTTCCAGACCTGTAGAATATATACATTCAGATATATGATTACTTGTTTTATAATTAAAAAAAAATATATATATATATGGGAGTTTATTAGTTTAGAATTACTCACATATGTGACTAAATTGTTAACTAAACCATCCATCTGGTAGAAGCTGCTATTCTTTTTGCCACTAATGATCTCAAGAATCAATACTCCGAAGCTATAGACATCTGATTTCATCGAGAATTGGCCATGTGTCACATACTCGGGAGACATGTAACCGCTGTAAAAAACACAAGTTATATGGGAAGTAAAAAACGGTTCAATTAATGATCGAAAATCATAAAAGTCCATTTTAAGATGATACTTACAAGGTTCCAACCACTCTTCCTGTATTGGCTACAATTTGGTCCACTCCAAAGATCCTTGCCATTCCAAAATCAGCAATTTTCGGATTCATATCAGCATCTAAGAGAATGTTACTCGCTTTGAGGTCACGATGTATGATCTTTAGCCGTGAATCTTGATGAAGATATAAAATCCCTCGAGTAATCCCACCGATGATATTGCGTCGCATTGTCCAGTCCAACTGATTTCTCTTCGTAGGATCTGCATATTTATACATGATCAATTTTTTTTTTTTTTTGGTGCAAAATACATGATCATGACTATGTACAAAAAGAAGAAGAAGCAGACTAAAGTTGTTTTGAGTTAAAAAATTGCATACCAAAGAGGAAATAATCGAGGCTTTTGTTTGAAACAAACTCATATACGAGTAACTTCTCTTCTCCTTGTAGCGAAAAACCAAGAAGTCTAACGAGATTTATGTGTTGAAGCTTTGCAACAACAACAACCTCGTTCTTGAACTCTACTTCACCTTGACCTGATGTTTTCGACAATCTCTTTACCGCAATTTCAGTGCCATTCATGAGCATGCCCTTGAAAATACTTACAAATTAAGCACATATCCTATTCTCCACAAAAGAAGCAAATGAGGTGGACAACATAGAGCGTATATATATACCTTGTAAACTTCACCGAATCTTGTTACGTTCGGAAAAGTTGCTTGTCGCCGATTCAATTGTCTTTAAATCGAATTGAACAGATTCCGCTTCATTTGAAACCATATTAAGCTCGCGAAAAAATACAACTTCAAATTGAAGGTATCAAGGTTCTAATAGACAAACAAACAAAGAAAACTCACTTGGAAGGTCCATGTCTTGCTTTTGCTTTCTTCTATTGGAAATAACCAAGCCTAAAACAACCAATATTATTGTAACAACAATAACAACAACTATTGCCGCGATTGTCCCTCCTGATATTCTGTTATCTGCACAAAACACTAATCATCAAAAACATACATACACAAAAACCAAAAAAAAAAAACAGAAATAAACAAGAAATTTTTCTGAAAATGTTTCCAACAAGGACTTTCCTTTCTTGGTTATGTTGATTATAGGAGATGGGGGTGTGATTGAAGGCGGCGGTGACTTCGGTAAATTAATCTGATCAATAGCACCAGAGAAGGGATACACTTCCCATCGGAAAAAGCAGTTTGGCCGTGATAAAACGCCGCCTTGGTGCCCACGGCAACAATTATCATAGTCGACAACGTTTTTCCGTAAGCAAGTGTTACAATCCTCTGAAGAAACGTCTGGTGTGCATTGCATCAACGCTGATATGTTCTTGAAATCCGGCACTAGAGCTATATCGTCTGAATAGTATTTAGACGAATTGTTTGCGCCTGATGAAAAAGAAGTTATTCCGGCGATCATACTAGAAGTTAAATTATTCCACACGATATCAAACTCAGTCTGATTCGTATTGAGTTCTCCCGTATTGAAAATCGCTCCTAGTGGATCCATGACGAGCAATCCAGAGAAGGGGCGGTTAGAGTAGCGAACAAGGCAAAGGGTTTCTTCACCTGACCAGAAGAAAGCATCTGCCTGGTTTGGACAGCTTTGAAGTAAACTCTCTGATGTGGTCCTGATACAGAGAAAGCAAACATCACGCTCAGAGCCTGGAGCGCACATCCCCATGGCAAAGACTTGGTCAGGAGAAATCCCAGTGGAACCGATGAAGTAGCCCTCGTGAGCCGTGACGTTAGAAGCTAGAGGAGAGAGAATGAGTCCGCGGTTCTTGTCATAAGGACTATTGGGTATGAAAGTCCCAGTAGTATTTTCACAAGTTTGTGCAGAAACAGAAATGGCACTGAAGCATATGACGAAAAAGTAGGAAAAACAGAGGACTAATTCACAACTCTTCGTTGCCATTTTTCTTTTTCTTCAGATTATGTGTAGGTGGTGTAGTTAGTATTTGTGGTTCTTATCATTTATAAGATTGAAATTTCTATTTGAATGACCATGCACATTAATAAGAAATTGACAACTTTGAATTTTGAAGCTAGACTTGGACTATGTAAGTCAATCTTTGATATTACGGGTTTTGGGCTTATTAAAGACTATGATAATCATTAGTCTCAATATTCAAAAAGAACTAATTACACTCGTTATCGATGCATCATTTACGTACAGACAGTGGCGGATCTAGAATAAGTTTCTAGTGGGGTCATTATCAGAGCCGTAGCTGGATAGAAGCAAGAGAAGCGGGAGCTGCGGCCCTCCGAGAAGTTATTAATATTTTCGGCCCTCAAATACCAATGTGTTTTGGTAGCCTAGTGGTATTATGTCATACACCACATATCTTAAGTCATGAGTTCGAATCACCTGAAGCGTGAGAGAAGATTTTTTTTAGTTTTTTGTTTTTTTTTTATGGTTGAATTTTTTTATAAGTATACACTTTTCTAGAGCGGCCCTTTTTTTTTTTTTGCGGGCGGCCCTCATAATCGTTGCTACGGCTCTAGTCATTATATTATATGAATAGAAGAATAGAGAATTGAAGCTATGTTAATGGGGTCAATTCAAGAAATTTTAACCATTTTTTTCTATTTTTTTCTTAATTTTAAATAACAAATCTTTCAAAATATAAGTTATTGTGGTCAGTTGACCCCATCCCACCAACGTAGCTCCGCCACTGCGTACAGAACGAGCAAAAGACCTGCTAGTAGACGGACTACGCTTATAATGGGTTTGGCTCAGATCTGACCCTTGAAGAAATCTCCAAATCCTGGTGGTTGAATTCACATGGAGAGTAATTAAGTATTAATGAACATTCGTAATATTGTGGACATGCTTATTGGACGATACGCTGGATTTTTCTTGAACGCATAATAACCAATGTGAATGCATTTAATGATATAATTACTGATCCATTATTTCTTCAAAGTCAAAACATACAAAAGTGTGATCATACGATATTTAATTTATTTCTCCACAAATAAGAGATTGTGATTTGTGAGAAGCGTAACTGCCTAAATACAATTTAAGATTACGTTTTTAGGTTTTATGTCTCTGCATGAATTCTCTTATCAGCGTTCATTTCAGATTTGTTTTGACTTTTGAGAAGGACCAGTTAAAGTTAGTAGCGTATGAAGCAAATTTCATCGCAGGTTTTGATATTTTCTTAAAATAAGAGGATCAACATGGATATTAAAATCAAGAGCAAGTGACAGTGTAGAAGAACAAGAGCTTTGTGTTGTTGAGATAGGTTGGAACACACCGCTTCTGTAGGCTGTAGCGAGAATAAAATGAACGATTAATACAAAATTTTATATAAAAATTGAAAGTAACACACGAATTTATGTAACAACTCTCATTAAAATCGAAAAGAAACCGATGAGTGGTTATGGGCCTGACTGCCCATAAGAATCAAAAAAAAAAATGTCAAATAATGCTCTTTATTCAAAGCCTCCAAAGTCCAACAGATTAGTCATCACTCATCAATATAATATGGAATTATATATATCAGAAGTAAAGGTCTTGTATTATGAAACTAAAATCGTTTTCTCTCTAGAATTTCCTGCACAGCTAAAGTTCCGTTTCATGATTGTCTTCTTTAGCTAACATCAATTAGCCTAATCTAAAAGACAAGTCGATACACCCAAAAAAATAAAAAATATTGACGTGAAAGAAATTGATTTCTCTTACATATAATTACTGTCTGGTTTCAGATTGATTGGACTCATAAACAAAAAGAGAACTAAAATAGAAAGAAAGGGAGAAGAATTAGATAAATGTCTAGCTATTATGCCTCTTTTGGTTTCCTCTTTCTTATATAGCCTTCCTCGCAAGCTTGCCTTCTTCTTCAACTCAGCTACAAGAACCAACTTACATCTACCATGTTTGTCCTAATACGACAACTTACCCTGAAAATAGCGCGTACTCTTCCAATCTTAAAACCCTTTTGTCCTCTCTTTCTTCCAACAATCCCTCTTTCTCCAGCGGATTCTATAGCACCGCTGCAGGTCGGAGTCCTGATGTGGTATTCGGGCTTTTCCTATGCCGGGGAGATGTCTTGCCGGAAATCTGTCCTGACTGCATCGTCTTCGCTGTCAATGACACTCTGTCTCGATGTCCAGAGGAGAAAAAGAGCTTGATATGGTATGACGAGTGCATGCTTCGACGAGAATTTTTTCTTGGAATCTTCACTTCAGAATGGAACAAACGGAATTATCTTGATTAACACTCAGAATGTTACATCTAATCAACAAGAAATCTTCAGAGATTTGGTGTTGTCCACTATGAACCAAGCCGCCAACAAAGCTGCAAACAGTACCAGAAAATTCGATGCGAGAAAGGCTGATTTTACCGGATTCGAGGATTTGTATGTATTGGTTCAGTGCATTCCTGACCTGACGAGAGAAGACTGCTTAAGTTGTCTGCAACGAACCATCAATAGATTACCCACTGATAAAGTTGGGGCAAGACTTGTTGTGCCGAGCTGTAGTTCAAGATACGAGCTTTACCCGTTTTACAACGAATCCGCCGTTGGAACACCTCAGCTGGATCCAGCTTTTCCACCACCACCAGACCACCTGGTCTGACAATTCTCTTTTCCTTGATTACATGTTTCAGCACAACTTTTCTTTTGAGACATCCAATGATATGTGGTGATCTGATACAAACTATTTATGTCAATACATGAGAAGGCGGAAACTCCTCTGTCATAGTTATAGCTGTTGTTGTTCCAATCACAATCATTTTTATTCTTTTCGTAGCTGTTTTAATTTTAGTATCCGAGCTAAGAGAAAGGAGATGATTCATGAGACAGAACCACTAGCTGGAGGTAAAAAGGCTCCTTTTCTTAGGTTCAATGATTATTCTACCTTGTCCTTATATTAATTCAGCTGTTGAAATGTTTTTATAGATAGGGATGATATTACAACAGCAGGCTCACTTCAGTTTTATTTTAAGGCGATTGAGGCAGCAACAGATAAGTTTTCGCAAAGTAACAAGCTAGGTCAAGGTGGATTTGGCGAAGTTTACAAGGTATTAACATAGCATAAGACTGTAGCTGTTTTATCTACAAGTATACACTAAGATAAGGTAGTTTAGAGTTTGAACTTTGGAGAAACGTTTTAAGTTCTTGGTTTTGACTTTTGAATTGAGGCAAATGATGTAAAACTTATATTGGGAATCGAGAGAGTGGTGAGGTGTTTCACAAAGTCTTAACATGATTTGTTTCGAATCAAAACCACAATAACATGATTTATGTCACCACTCACCACTATACAAATCATGAAAATACTCTGTTTTTCCCCTGTATCCAGATTAAATCTGACACATACTTTGAGAATTGAGATGTATGGGATTAAGTGCAACAACCTTGTAACTGCAAAGAATCTTTATGTACCATCACACACAAAAATCTTTCTCATTCTCTATTGTACGTAGCTGAAAAACTCCAGTCCTTAGTTATCTTTTTTCAATTGTTACAAGTACTATAACTTACAACCAATTCCCTTATGATTTTCTAAAAATAAATTACTGTTGTAGGGTACATTTCCTAGTGGAGTACAAGTTGCGGTAAAGAGGCTATCTAAGACATCAGGACAAGGTGAAAGAGAGTTCGAAACGAAGTTGTTGTTGTTGCAAAGCTCCAACATAGAAATTTGGTAAAACTGCTTGGTTATTGTTTGGAAGGAGAAGAAAAGATACTTGTATATGAGTTTGTGCCCAACAAAAGCCTTGATTACTTCCTCTTTGGTCAGTTAAACTTAATTCTTAGCCTCAGATATTTTTTTTCTTCAAATTGCATGACATTTTTGGTTATTAACATTGTAAATATGAATTATGAAGACTCTATGATGCAGAGCCAGCTTGACTGGACAAGACGATACAAGATCATTGGAGGAATTGCTAGAGGAATTCTATATCTTCATCAAGATTCAAGACTCACAATCATACATCGAGACCTCAAAGCGGGTAATATCCTCTTGGACGGTGATATGAACCCCAAAATTGCAGATTTTGGAATGGCAAGAATTTTCGATATGGACCAAATAGAAGCCAATACGAGAAGAGTAGTTGGAACCTAGTAAGTTTATCTATGCCATTTTCTGACTCTTTTAACTGTAATTTGCTCCTATTAACTCAAACATATAAGTTTTTTTTTTCAGTGGTTACATGTCTCCTGAGCCATGTAATTTCCAAATCCGTCAAGTTACCTTGAAAATCTCTGGTATAGTTATCACTCCTCAGAATCTCCATACCAAGCGATCCGTAAAACGAACGGTTTGAGTAGCGTACAAGACAAACTGTTCTATCTATTCTCCAGTCTATAGTTTCTGTCTGATTAGTACAATTCTGCAACAATCTACCATTCGAAGAGATGATACAATCAGAACAAGATTGTGCATCAGTACCTGGGACACACATCCCTAGACCGTATGCTCTGTTTGGATCTTCCCCGGTAGATGTCGTGTAGAAGCCGTCATTAGCTGTGACATTAGAAGGAAGAGAAGAAAGCAGGTCTCGGCGGTTTAAGTCGTAAGTACTATTGGCTGTGAAAAAACCAGATCTTTCAAGGCATATATGTGCAGAGACATGACAAAAGCTGATGAACACAAACCAAAAGATTACTGACAACTTGGAACTGTCAACATTCTCGTGCAGTGGTTGTGTATTCTGACACTAATATAGGCTTATTAGGCGATTCTAACCTAGTTCCGTCTCCGACGGTGTTGCCTCACGCAGCCGCCGAGAAATTTCTGCTTCCTTCCCCCTCTTCATTTCTTCTAATGGATGTCCTCTCCGTTACTCCTCCATCTACAGATCCTCCTGATCCAGTAGATCCAGTTACTCTTCTCTCTCACAGATCCCCTCCGCAAAATCAGATCTCCTCTGCTCCGGTTATAGAAACCGATTTACTCTGCTCCTCTGCTCCGATTAAGGAAACTGATTTCATGGTTCCTGTGACTGGCCAAGCTTCAGCCGTTATGGACCCGTCTCTCACTGAAATCACCGGACTTGTTCCAATTAGTTCTGCTCCTCCTCAATCGGACCAACCTGCTCAAATATCCTCTTCCTCCCCGCCACAGTCGGTGATTGAAGTCGAACCCGAAGTTCCTCCGGTGATAGACGATACTCAACTCCTCTGGGCTGCTAGGTTCAATTCAAAGCTCCGGAATTTGAAGAAAGTTACTCGGCCAACATTTACGCAAGATGGCACTCCCAAGGTCAGAGCCCCAGCTTCAGTCATCCTTAAAGCCACCGACACTTGGAAGGACCATATCGTAGCTCACTTCCATGGAACTCCTCCTCCTCCAGGGAAAATTTTCACAGATTTGAACCCCATTTGGGGAACATCTGGTCGTATCAACATCAAGGCGTTACCTAATGGACCTGTTCTCATTTTCATTCCATCAGAGGCCACTCGACAGTGGGTCATTGAGGTTGGGTGTTGGCAAGCTGGTAATTGCCTCTTCACAGTCACAGCTTGGTCTCCAACAGCAACCTTAACGCCAATTAAGCTGGTCTCCTTACCGATATGGGTTGTTATCAAAGATGTTCCGCCTCAGCTTTATTCTCTTCCAGGATTAAGCACCATCGCCTCAGGAATTGGTGAGCCGCTTCATACTGAAAAACATCATCTTCCTCCTCTAGCTCCCGACACCAGAATAAAGGTTGAGATTCTTCTTAACAAAGATCTTCCGAACTCGGTCTTGGTTATGGATGATGAAGGGACTGAGCTCAGGGTTTGGGTTGAATATCCACGTCTACCCCCAAAGTGCGACTACTGTAATGAATATGGTCACCTTTACCATAGGTGTCCATCTGCTCCGGATGTTCCCTCTTCTACTCATGCTCCACTGGTTAATGCGGGAAGACCCACACTCAGAGATCAACCTCCTCCTCGGTATGCAGAGGTAGTGTTGCAGACCTTACCTGTTCATGTTGTGGCAGCTTCAGGCACTCCTCCACCAAACGTTCCCTCTAAGACTGATATTTCTAAGTCCAATCATCGGTACCTTGCTTCACCAACAAACGAGTCTTCCAATGAATGGCAGGTTGTAAAGAATAAGTCAAAACCTCATGTCAACAAAGCGTTGGTGAAAGAAGTTGAGCCTAACCAAGGAGGAAGCTCTGTCACTGCAGCTCAATTCGCTGAAGAGGAAGAGGCTATTCAGATTGGTCAGCGGATCATTCGTCGAAGATCAAGTTCTCCTCAGCGACCTCCGACTATCCTTCCAGATCAGTCCAATAAACCTCTAACCTCCATAACGAGTCAGCCGTCAGCTGGGATTATCACTACTTCTAAGGAAGTTTCAGTTGCTAAAGTTGCTAAGAAGCCTCCTTCTAAATCTGGGAAAAGCTCCCAGAGTTCTCAGAGTCGTCGTATCCCTGGAAAGGGACGCGCAAATCATCATGCTTGAAAGCTATGCTTTCAAACCTTTTGTCCTTTTTGATGATGATAAAAATCTTTTGTTATAATATTCGGGGTTTAAATAATACTCAGAGGCAGCAAGAACTTAAAAGTTGGGTTTCATCTTCGAGACCTTCTATCGGTGCTATTTTGGAAACTCATGTACATCATGATAATGCGGCTGCAATTTTGGCTCGGATTTTCCCTGGTTGGAGACACGAGTTTAATTACTTACCTACAGCAAGCAATGGGAGAATTTGGCTTGTCTGGAATTCGGCAGTAAAGGTTTTTATTTATAAGAAGACAGATCAACTCATTTCCTGTGGAGTTTTTGATCCTTCTACCTGCGAGTCGTTCTCTGTTACCTTTGTCTATGCCCGCAACTGTTTAATTGCTAGACGGGATCTTTGGGTTGCGCTTGAAGAGCTTCATAATCATAGTCTCCAAAGGAATCATCCGTGGTTAATTCTTTGAGATTTTAATCAAATACTTATTGCTGAAGACCATTACTCTCTATTACCTTATAGTCTTCCTCTTCAAGGTATGAATGAATTCCAATCCTGTATTGATACCTGTGAGCTTCTACATTTGTCTTCCAGAGGTGCTGAGCATACTTGGTATAATGGTCAGCCTTCCAATCCAATTACTCGCAAATTGGACAGAGCTCTTATAAATGAGTCGTGGCTTATGGCGTTCCCTCAGTCTTCTATGTTTGTTGATGCTCCTGGAGGTTCTGATCATTCTCCGCTTCTTATTTCTACTTCTGATTCTGTTGAGAGGAGGAAGGTTCCATTCAAATTCTACTCTTTCTTCACCACACATCCTGACTTTCCTAGTATTGTTGAGTCGGCCTGGAACCTGGATCTTGCTCATACTTCCACCATGTTTTCCTTGTGTCATAGGCTAAAGGCAGTTAAACTGGGATGCAAAGCTCTTAATAGGACAAGCTTCAGTAATATTCAAGCTCGGTCTGCTGAAGCTCATGATATGTTGACAAGCATACAGAATCAGCTTCTTACCTCTCCATCTCTAGCTCTGTTTGAGGAAGAGAAGGAGCAGCGGAGGAGATGGTCTTTCTTCGCAGCTGCGGAGGAATCTTTTCTCATGCAAAAATCTCGGATTAGATGGTGTGATGAGGGAGATTCCAACACAAGCTTCTTTCACAAATCGGTTATGGCTCATCAAGTGAGAAATAGTATTACTTATCTTAAAAATGATGCGGATTTGAGGATAACTGATAAGATCCTTCTAAAGCAGCTTGTTGTTGACTACTATCAAAATCTCCTAGGCACAAGAAACACCTCTGTCCTTCCTCTTCCTGTGGAGCGAATCAAAGAGCTGAATTCTTTCAGATGTACTGCAACTTTGGCTACTCAACTGACTTCTATTCCAACTCCTGAAGAAGTAACCTCCACAGTTTTCTCCTTACCAAGGAATAAAGCTCCTGGTCCTGATGGTTTTACGGTTGACTTCTTCATCAACTCTTGGAGTGTTGTGGGTCCTTCTCTAATTGCGGCAGTAGTGGATTTCTTCAAAACTGGCAAGCTTCTCAAGCAGGTAAATGCAACAATTCTGGCTCTGATTCCCAAAACAGATTCGGCAGACAGACTTGGTGAATTCCGGCCAATCTCCTGCTGCAACACCATATATAAAGTCATCTCTAGGCTTCTTGCTAAAAGACTCAAGTTATTTATGGATTTGGTTGTTCAAAGGAACCAGGTTGCCTTCATCAAGGGTAGATTGCTCTGCGAAAATGTGTTATTGGCTTCAGAACTTGTTGCAGATTTTAACACTCTGGGACCTGTGTCTAGAGGCTGTCTTCAGATTGATTTATCAAAGGCGTTTGACAACATTGATTGGGGTTTTCTTACCAACATTCTGGTGGCTTTAGATCTTCCCACCATGTTCATTAATTGGCTAACAGAGTGCTTCACTACTCCTTCTTTCTCTGTTGCTCTAAATGGTGAACTTATAGGTTATTTCCCGGGCAAAAAAGGCCTTCGTCAAGGCGACTCCATTTCTGCTCCTCTCTTCGCTCTTGTTATGGATACTCTCTCCAAGCAACTAGATTTGGCAACCACTTCAGGAAGAATTCAGGCCCATCCCCTATGCGTTAATCCTTTGGTAACTCATCTCAGCTTCGCTGACGACATTCTGGTATTTTTCAATGGTCAGGAAGCCTCTCTAATTGCAATTCTGGACGTTTTGGCTCAGTTTAAGAGTGTCTCTGGCCTTGGTATCAATCTGTCTAAATCTTGCCTATTCCTTGATGGAAGCAACTTTGATTTAATCAGCCAAATCTCCTCAAGGCACAATCTTACACATGGTTCTCTCCCAATACGTTATCTTGGTGTTCCACTTCTGCCTAGCAAGCTCAATGCCTCCGATTATCAGCCTCTCATTGACAGAATTAAAGGTAGAATTTCCTCTTGGACAAATAGACATCTCTCGTTTGCAGGCAGACTTCAACTTCTCCATTCAGTCATCAATAGCACTATTAACTTCTGGGCTTCGATCTTTATTCTTCCCAACAAGTGTATCGCTGATCTTGAACAACTTTGTAGTTCCTTTTTGTGGAAAGGTGCTGCTTCTTCTGCCCGCGGTGCTAAGGTTTCTTGGGAGGTTGTTTGTTCCCCAAAATCTGCTGGTGGACTTGGACTAAAAAGGCTGGCTGATTGGAACCAGATTTTTGGTCTTAAGTTGATTTGGCTTCTCTTTTCTCAGGCTGGCTCACTGTGGGTGTCTTGGGTAAAAAATCATCTTATCAGAAGAAGATGAATCTGGGATGCTGACTTTCGTTTTACTGGGAGTTGGATTTGGCGACGCCTCTCAAAACTAAGGGTTTTGGCAAGACCTTTTGTTTTTTGTAGCGTTCAGTCTGGTTGCTTGGCTCTATTTTGGCATGATAACTGGACTAATTTGGGTCCTCTAATCGATATTGTTGGACCTGCTGGTCCTCGGGTTACTGGTATTGGTCTTTTAGCTACGGTCTCTGAAGCAGTTGTAAATGATGCTTGGGTCTTACCGCGTGGAAGGCATCCTTTGGTTCAACTTCTCAGGAACTGTCTTCTCTCACATCCTCCTCCACTTGAGACTGAAACAAGGAAAGATTTATTTCTTTGGAAAATTGATGCAGATCAAGCTCAAGGCCATTTCTCCTCTTCAGGAACGTGGAAACATCTTCACCCTCCTGGTCCGACTAAGGCTTGGTTCACCCAAGTCTGGTTTAAGGAGAGAATTCCAAAGCTTGCATTCATGTTTTGGCTCACTGTTCAGGATAGGTTAACAACAAGAGACAGGCTAAGGAGATGGAACTTGCCAATCCCAGCTGCTTGCCTTCTCTGCCAAACCGATGAGGAATCAAGAGATCACCTATTCTTTCAGTGCACTTACTCTAATACTCTTTGGCTGGAATTATTTGGTCGCTTCTCTCCCAGTCCGTCTACTCAATTTGGTCTCCTTCTCAACTGGATTAAAAAGCCTACCACAAATAGGAAACTCAATTCTATATGCAAACTTGTTCTTCATGCTTTGGTTTACAACATTTGGAAGGAGAGAAATGCAAGGTTGCATTCGGCTTCTCCTCGCTCGACTATCCAACTGAAGAGGGAAATTCAGCTGCTACTTAGAAGAAGACTCGCTGGTTTGGACAGAGCTGATACTGCAACAGGGCTTCCATCAAGCACAACTCAAGCCCAGGAGACTTACCTTTCTCTTTGGTTTGGAAACTTTCAGTAACTGCGCTTAGAATCCTGTTTCTTTCATTATGCTCATGCTTTAGTGCTTATGCTTTGTATTGAATCAAGTATTAATATATAAAATGGTACTTAAAAAAAAAAAAAAAAAAAAAAAAAAAAAAAAAAAAAAAAAAGATTACTGACAACTTGACCATTTTATTTATTCTTTCCCTTTGTGTTTGATTGTCTAAACTTTTTAACCTTGAATCTTGAAGGATATAATTTTTGTAAACATGGGTTTGAATTCCAATTTCAACTTCTCGTGCTGTACGAAATTTGACTAATCGTCATTGAATTTTCTAACGTAGACTTTGGATAATGAGTCAATGTCTAGTTACGTGACTTATGTCTTATACGAGCCTGATTCAGATTGACATTGTTATACCACTTGGTACCATATGAATTGGTATTTTTGTTATCTTGATGAGTTTTATTGCTATGGTAACAAAAATCTCGTTGAAGCTCATAAGGCAAAACAGCAAATGCATGCATGATTCTTGAAAGGGTATCATATTGCAAAGTTTAAACGTTTGGGCTTAACGTGAAAAGATAAAAGAGTAGTGGGGTGAATTTAAAATTTCCAAAACTTGGAGAACAGATACATCTTTCTTACTGTCATTCATTACTGAGGCAACATCGACTACTCACCGGAAAATGGATGCCGGAGCTGAAATTGATGTGGTTCAGCCGGTGGAGAACGATTCGGCGGCGGAAACTGGTCCAGCCCAAGACCACGGTGGAAGATCGGAGCCGTCGTCGTTGAACCAAGGGGAGATTTTGAGAACCCTTGCTACAGTGGAGAAGGATTCGCAGGCAATCGCGGAGAGTTTTTCGTCTCTCTTTGTTTCCCTCCGATCAACTCTCTCTGAGGTTAGAATACGTTTCTTTGAATCGATTTTTGTTCGTCGGTTTCCATATCGTTGCCGAGAAAATTTGACATTTGGGGAAATTAAAGTCTAGGGTTTTTAAATCCATCAATTTTGTGAAATTTCTCTTTTCATGTCATAAATTAAGAAACTTTAGGAGCTAGCAGAGCTCAAATTAGGAGATTTCATCAATAAATGGAAAAACCATTTCAATGTTTATGTTTTGAGCTCTGAAACTGGAAATGATCATAATCTTTTGCTGCATCAGATTATGTGATACTTTAGATGTTTATGGACCATTGAAACCATGGCTAAGTTTGTTCAGTGTTCTTTGACTGTTTGTTTTTCATGGAAACTGTTTATTTTTTTCAGGATGGTTCATTCGAATAAAATCTTTATTTGTGTTGTTTATGAGAATAATTTGATGGTGTTATAGGCTACTGGTAGCTCGGTTGATCACATGACTTGCTTTGGAGATGCAGCGGGACGGCTTCAGGAAAATGGTAACAACACTACATGTTTTGAGCAGTAGATTCCATTTGCCATTTATAAATCAAGAATCAAGTTAATCCACCTTTCTTTGTTCTATGGATTTTTAGCTCTAGATGCAGCCACCAAAGGGAACCGGTACATCAACTCTTGCCTCAGGTACTTTCTTTAGATAGTACTCTACCTAATCACATAGTACACCGAGTCAATGTCCAAATATGTTGCTTATTACTTTAGGACAGAGGAGATATCTCACACTTTATTTCATCTGATGTGTTAATAAGATTCCTGAGCTTGACCTCTAAATTTTAAGATGCGTTTCTTCTGCGTTTTTTGCTTCCGGTATGATTTCATTTTTGGCTCAACATGCAGATTAAACGAGGAAATTAAAGGCGTTGAGAATTTGGCTGCTCGGTTGTATCCTTAATATGGCTATCAGCCATGTTTGTGTCTGAATGTTAAACACAAAGACACAGACACACCATGTCAGCTCAAAGCTTTCTTAATCGTGGTTTAGTCAGAAATTTGTTCTAGACTCCTTAATAAATCAATCTGCAGAAAGCACCTGAGGAAAAATGTAGATGTTCTTGACACGGCTGTGAACAAGCTTCTCCGGCCTCCATGAGAAGTCATCAGTTTTTCACTTGTATCACTTTTTTCTTTTTCTTTCACAGACTTTGGATCTCTTATTTCTCGTACATGATTTTGATTATAACTGATGTTAAATTTCAACATTACATGTTTTCAAGGGTTTATGGTTTAAGAAAAACCAAAACATTTTTTTAATTTTTTAAGTGTTTATGTTTATTCCAAAATTAAGCCTCTGTTGGATAGAATTTCCAAAATCGGTGGTAAGCTGTCTTCAGCTCCTTCTTTACCAGAAGTGCAGCTCTCTCAATATGTTCCCTCTTTGGAGTAGATTGCTACCCTGAAGTTGCTTCAACAGGTTAGTGCACTCATGTTTCTGACCTGGTTTATATATATGTACTTACAAGTCTATGTTACAATTTTTTCAGGTTTCTAAGATTTATCAGACAATAACAATTACGAATCTAGCTCAGTTGTTCCTTTCTTCGACTTCTCAGCGGTTGAGACGATATCAGCTGATGCTGTAAGAAACAATTTCGTTGACATGAAAGTTGATCACATAAAGGGTGTTGTAATTTTTGGAAATCTGGTGAGTCTCTCTGGTGCTTTTGGTTTAGCACTACTTATATCAGTCATTTCTTTGTGCAACCGAGCAGTTTTACTATAACTTTTTATACTTTTGGTTGATGTTATTTTGTTTCATCCTACTATTTGTGTATCAGAGTAATGAGTCTGATGGGCTGAAAGAACCTCTGGCTATTTTTGCTGAGACTATGGACAAATCAAGAGCGATGTTATTTCCTGCCCCAAGTAAAGCATCAAAGGTTGGTGACGTAGTACCAAATCTAGAGGAGACTGTAGAAAAGGAGCACAAAATACTGCTTTCTCGGAAATCAATCATTGAAAAGAGGAAGGAGGAACAAGAGCGTCAGCAACTAGAGATGGTATTTTTTCCTACATGGATTGAAGCATCATTCATGTTTTTTTCTGTTTTTCGATATCGTTGGCTCACTTGAGGACAATTCTCTGTTCTGTGTTTTGGTTTTGAAGGAACTTGAAGAGGAGCAGAGAAAGCTTACGCTTCTGAAGCTAACCGAGGAGGCAGAACAGAAGAGACTTGCGACAGAGCTTAAGAAGAGGAGAAGACACAGAATTCATAGGGGGATAGAGGAGAAGGTAACAAAGCAAACCGTGATGGAGAAGGCCATGAGTGAGAAGCGCAAGGAAGATCAAGAAATGGAGAAGAAGCTCCAAAAACTTGCCAAAACTATGGATTATCTGGAACGGGCAAAGAGAGAAGAAGCTTCCCCTATGATCGAGCTGCATATCAGCAACGACTAGTAGAGGAAAGGAAATTTTATGAACATGGGCAACACCGCAACAGGTGAACTTTATTCTTATAGTAGTTATGCATCTTTATATACTGGTTCTGAGTTTAGGCGAAAAATGTCCGTATAGTCTCTTGTGTTTTGTTTAGACTGAGGTCGAGCTCAGCAAGGAACGTCTTAAGAGTGACCTGAAGGAGAAAAAAGGTTGGCCAGAATGTTGGATAATAAGGTCAGTTGGCTTGTGAAGTTGTGTCTACTGTATCTTCATATGTAGAAATCACTTCATGTAATTTTTATTGTCAAGTAGCTCAAAACGAAATTCTGTTTCCAGGAAATATTCCAAGAGAGGGTGACAAGTCTTCGACAAGCAGAGTTTGAGAGGATAAGAAAAGAGAAAGAGGAGCATCTTGGCCAAATAATTCAAGCCAGGAAACAAGAAAGCGATATTGAGAGGAAACGGATATATCATTTGAAATCTGAAGAGAAAAAAGCTTCAGGAAGAAGAGGAAGCTCATAGGCGTGAAGGTACACCCTCGACTTCCATAGAAAAAAAGATTTGGTCATTTTAGCTCATTAGGCCTCAGTGAAGAATAATTTAGTCATGTTTTTCCCAAGATTTAAACGTGTGTAAGACTCGTTTTCAGTTGTGTAAAACCTTTTGCATTGAATAAGCTTTTATTTTCTAGTCAAATTTTCCCTTTTTCCTACAGTTTCATCTTGTCGTACTTTCATATTCTAAAACTTCTACTGCATAGGAACATTACAGGGATTCATGTATATTCCTTAAGCTTTTCTATTATACTAAAGATTAAAACTTAAAAGCTAAAATATTGGACTGTTTTGGTATCACATCTTCAATGGAGTTTTGTCTCCACTTGCGCTATATAGTAATACTGATTATCTTGAAGTGGAAGCAAACTTTAACTTAACTGCGGTTTCTTTCTTCTAGAAACTATTCACTTACAGACTTAGCAAGTCAAAAAGAACAAAAAAAAGGTAAAACCCTTAAACTTTTCTATAAATTAAATTGGATTAGACAAACTATAAAATCTTAGGGAAAAAGTTGTGTTTAGTGCTGCTCTAAGTTCTTTTCAAGACACAATCATTTGTGGGTCAGTCTTATGCTTCTTTGTTCACAATTGAAACTGAATACATATGATGTTTAGCTTGACAAGTACTCCCACTTTGAATAAACTTGTCGAAAAACCTCTGAAACATTACTTTAGATGGTAATAGAAAAGACTCCAAACATTTTTAATACAAAAATCTAAATCCAAAAGTAGCTTTGGATTCCACTAGTTAACACTCGCAACAATAAACCGAAACACGCGGTTTGGTCTCTAAGGATCATCTGGTTGAGCCAGCGTAAGTCCAGCAAAGTCTGTAACAGTGTAACCAATCTTCTCAAACTTTCCTACTTCATTACTCTGTCTGAACTTCAGATAGTCCGAACACTTAAAAGACTTGTAGCTCCTGCAATTTCCCTCCCCAACGATTTCTTCTGGCGCAAGTATCACTTTCTCATCCTCAAAACAGAGAAAAAACGCCAGAGAGACTCTGTTCACCAACTTTCTCAATACAACTCGATGTTCAGACGATCTCAGCCTTCCGTTACTCCATGCTTGCATAAGATCTCCAATGTTAACGACAAGGAGATCCTCACACGGATTTATATCGATCCATTTCCCTTCCTTAGATCTCATTTGAAGTCCACCAACTGAATCTTGATAGACTATTGTTATGCAGCTCATATCCGTGTGCATCCCGAGACCTTCAACGAGATCCTTTTGCTTCTCTACGTCGTGTGGAGGTGTATAGTTCACTAGCCTTAAGTATCCATGACAGTTGCTAAACTCAGTTTGGTAGAATATCTTCCCGGTTTCGTCTCCTAAGGTTATCATCAAGAGAATCTTTATGAGTCTTTTGGACAATTCCGCCATTTTAGCTCCGTATTCTTGCAGTTTTTCTCTGAACAAAAACAGAGGAAAGGTAAAAGTGTTAAACCAACACAGAAGATGAAAAAGAAAACATTGATGTGTTGTAGTGACAACCTTAACTCTGGTTTATGATGATCTTGGAACAAAACATCTGCAGAAGCTTTGGCAGAACCGGAGAAATCAGGTCCAGAGACAACAAGGCTTTCGAAATAAGGAGAGGCAATATAACGAGGAGTATATGAAAAGGGACCAAGCTTGAGCTTTAATTCAAGAGGAACTTTAAAAACATCTCTGGACAAGGAACAGATTTTGCTGAACATCTCTTTAGAGATTCCATGATTGGTGACATAGAAGAATCCCCACTCTTTACAAGCTTCAGAGAGAGAAGACAGAACAGAGGACTCAATCGGTTGTGTTAAGTCTAACACAGGAAGCTGCAGAGAAGATTGAAGTTCAGACATTATATTATATATTTACTTGTCTTAAGGGGTTTAGGGGTAAAGACTAGGGGCAAGCTATGCTATGCATGGGGGTATATAAAAGGAGGCTTCAGATATATTTCAGACAAAAGCAATAATAGTAGAACCCACATTTTTGGTTATCATCATCATGTCGGTATTATAAAGGATGGTAAATTATTCTGATTTGATTGTAACATTTTACAAGTAGGCTATAGTTTCATTATTTGCAGCCTCAGAAGTCTTGAACATTAAACTTATTGCAAAAAAGTTGTGAAGACTCATGAAAACTTTATTATTCATAAAAGCATATATAAGAGTTATCTTGTAACTCTGCAGACCATAGATTATGTCCCTATTCATCCTCCAGGACCTCCATAGTAAATAGCTCTTAACCAAGGACCCTTACCCTCATCATCATGAACATATGTGACTTTGTAACATTTTGGATTGCTCTCACGTGTCTTCAAACTGTAGCTTTTCGGACTAAAAACGGTTCCATAATTACGATAAGTTTGATGCCGTTCACATAGGCGGCCTTACTTAAGCCCTCACTAGGCCAATGACCACTTCCCATAGCTGAAGTATTCTCTGTCAATGGACTGTAGGTTTGGCCTCCCCAAGTTGCATAGTTTGCTCTCTTAGCTAAGGTCGAGGCTTTGAACAATGACGCTGGCCAGTATCCAACGTTCTCAGCCCCAGATACAAACCACCAATCTCCCTTGGAACGATCCTGTTCAAATGACTTTTAAGAGAATATGGACTTTAACTGATACAATGTCAAATGCAATTCATATTGTTTATAATCATAGATGGAAACTGGTTGAAGAATGGCACCAAGTGGTAAATTCTGGCTTACTTGCACGAATCCAGGACATGCCAAGTCGTAGCAGCCGGTGTGGCTTCCATGTATCTGTTATCACAATAAACCAACATAGACATATATCACTAAGACCCTAATAAGTTGATAAACTATTAGTGCAAGCTCTTATTTGTAACTTAAAACTTACAGTCCAAGAGGCGTATAAGCTAACATTATTACTTTGGTACAGAGTTGGATTCACCTGTTGTATATACATATTTTAAATTTTTGTCAACTTCTACTTATGAATAGATAGCAAAGAAATCATAAACTGACTTACCATCCACCCAACTGAAATGCTAGCGAATTGTTCTTTAGGTCCTCCACCAATGCTTATAAATGCAATAGTAACTTGATCTTGCAAGACTTGTGGTTCCCACAGGTTAAGGTTTCCTTTTACTCCAGAAAAAGTGTTCGGTCATTATAAATGAAAATTATAATGCAGAGAGATCTTAAGAACAAGTTAACTAGAATGTGCATCATCCTAGTCTTCCGTAGATTATATAGCTTCAGACCAAATTCGAAGTTCCCTAATCGTGTTAACTTGAAATATATCTACCCAGTTATTGATTTACTTAGAACTTCTAGTTTTTACCAACTGTATGTCCTAATTAATGATATAGAAGTTCCTTAATCTTATAATTTGTTAATTACATTATTTTGCAGTTAAGAAAGAGATGTTTTTTTCCTGTACTTTTTTTTTTTTTTTTTTTTGGTAAAAGTTTTTTCCTGTACTTTAAGGTGAGTTTGCACTCAATCTATATAGTATGCTCAATAAACATATAAAATTTTGTGCTGAAAGTTGTGAATTTCTAATACTTGATTATTCATTAGAGCTCAAGTAACGCTTACATATATTTTAAAATCTGTTGGATTTTTTTCCTATAGCCTATCTAAAAGTCTTGAGATATTGCTACTCTTTATTTCATAGATCAATTACCCTATGCATCCTCCAGGACCTCCATAAAAAACAGACTTTTTCCAAGGCTTAGCAACCTCATGAACATATCTGGCTTTGTAACAGTTTCGTCTGCTCTCATGTACCTTCACTGTACCCGATTCTGGATTAAAAACTGTTCCATAACCATCCATGATTTGGAGGCCGCTAATAAAAGCAGCTTTATGGAAGCCCTCACTAGGCCAATGACCACTTCCCATAGGTGGAGTCTTCTCTGTCACAGGGCTATACACTTGACCTCCCCAAAATGCATGATTTGCGCTGTTAGATTCCCTCCAGGACTTGAACAATGATGCTGGCCAGTATCCAACGTTTTCATCTTTAAATGCAAACCACCAATCTCCCTTGACACGATCCTGTTCCATATTTTGAAAATGAATCCAAATGACTTTAAGAGAAGTGATCAATGATGAGTAGACTTTACCTGATACAAGCTCAAACGCAATTCATATTGTGGACCATTATAGATGGAACTTGGTTGAAGAATGGCACTAACTGGTATAGTCTTGCTAACTTGCACAAATCCAGGACATGACATGGCGTAGCAGCCGGTCATGTTTCCATGTGTCTATTAGCACAATTATAAGCAAACATATACATATAGAACTTATAAGACCTAGAGAAGTTGGTAAAGAAACTATTAGTGCAAGCTCTTACTGGTATAATTCAAAACTTACAGTCCAGTAGGCGTATAAACGAACATGATCACCAGAGTACATCGATGGATTCACCTGTTGTATATACATATTTTCAAACTTTTGTCAACTTTAAATTCATGCAACTTACAGTTGACGAGGCGTATTAGCGAACATGGTCACTTTCGCTAAGGAACCAGAATTGACTTACCACCCATCCAACTGAAATGCTGGCCAAATTTTCTTCAATACGCCCTCCACTAACTGCTATGTATGCGATACTAACTTGATCTTGCAAGATATTTGGTTTCCATACGTTAATGTTTCCTTTTACTCCACCAAAACGATCCGGTCCATAGTCAGCTGTTGCAAACTAATATCCATAAAGAACAAAGGAAACTCAGAAAATGAAAGTAGAAAAAAAACGGGGGTTGGTACTCTCAACTTATAAGGGTTCTTACGTAGAATTTTCCATTTAAATTAGTGTTATTGCTCTCTTTGAGAAAAGGTCTCGGGCCGTCGAATCCCATGGATTTCAAACGTTGTGCATGCATAAGATCTTGCATTGTAGTCCTTTTTACAATTACTGTTCCATCTGGACAGCTTATACCTTCTTGCAGAAGATCAAAACTCCCCGAACCATTGTTTCCAGTGATCCATTCAGGTACAGTTGTTGGCTTTAGCTGTATATACATCAATGTGTTCACAAATTCCATCATTCTCTAAGGAGATATTCATCTTTGATCGAAAAGAAAGGAGACAAAGAGAGAATTTTGTATAAAACAAAACCTGAACAGAGTGGTTTTTGAGTAGATGATGATCAAACGCTAGTTGTTTGTGAATTTCGATACAATCGAATATATCACCATGTTTAGTCTGTCCATAATAAAAAAGATAATTAGATATGAAACAATAAGCATGTATGAAGAAGGAAGGCCAAGACAACCTTGAAACTCTTGATTGCAGGTTTGTTGATAGCTTTGAGTTGTCTCTCCATTTCTTTCTTCTCTGCCTTTGATGGTATTGCTCGGCGTTCCTTAGTTGCTTCAGCGGATAAAATAAGAGTGATTGTTAACAGAATCAGTAACACAAAGTGGTTGAAGGAAGCCATATTGATTCTCTAAAAAGGCTCTTATGTTTTTACTCCTTCTGCAAACAAGAAATGAATCAAAAGGATTTATTTATAATGTAGAAAATCACATTAAAACTAAATATATTGACTCAATTATTCAATGCACTTTTGTAGCATTTAGTATATTTCATTAAAATAGAATGTAATATCATTCTATATGACCATAGAAGAGTAAATATAATTAAGTATCTATTCGTTTGACCAAACAAATTAGAGAGAATTGGCTGAGAGACATTTGACCAGAGCCAAGTTTGATTTTTAGAAATCTATTTCAAAGTCAAAACAATATATATATATAGTCCACATTTTTGCCGAAATTAACCCCATGCGCTTGGCTGGATATATATGTTGGATGCATTAATGTTACATCATGCTTTTTGGGTGTCTATTGCCTCAACTCTTTGTCATCCTGCCATTTTATTAACCAATCTAAATTTTCATTGTTTCTTAACGACCCGGTGGAGTCTCTTCCACGTGATTGAACTTGTCTTTCGTAGCGATTCATGGCGATAAAATGTTCAATTGTTGTCTTTCTTTCAATTCTTTATTATGTCCGTCACATGCCCATAAATTTACTTATAATATAGACCATTTTCTACTTCCGATATCAATCTTTCAAACTAACCCTCAGATCTGTTCCCCCTCATGCATGAAGATACTTAATGCGGAGAGATCTTAAGAACATGTTAACTCGAATGTACCTTATCCTGGTCCTCCGTAGAAGATAGCTTCAGACAAAATTTGCAGTTCCTTAATCGTGTTATTAACTTGAAATATATCTAACCAGTTATTCATGTACTTAAAGTTTTTACTTAATACCAACTATTTGTCCTAATGATATAGCAGTTCCTTAATCATATAATTACATTATTTTGCAGTTAAGAAAGAGATGTTTTTTTTTTCCATGTACTTTAAGGTGAGTTTGCACTTAATCTATGCTATAACCATTCGATATTTTGTGCTGAATTGTGAACTTATGATTATTCATTAGAACGCAAGTAATGCTTAGATATATTTCAAATCTGTTGAATTTCTCCTATTAGCTTCATCTATAATTCTTAAAATCTTGTAAACTCTTCAGTCCATAGAATATTATCTCCCTATGCATCCTCCAGGACCTCCAAAGTAAACAGCTCTTAACCAAGGCTCATCATCTTCATGAACATATATGGCTTTGTAACAGTTTGGTCTGCTCTCATGTACCTTCACTGAACCAACTTCTGGATCGAAAACTGTCCCCGACCTATCGATGATTTTGATGCCGCTCACATAGGCTGCTTTTTTTAATCCCCCAATAGGCCAATGACCACTTCCCATAACAAGAGCCTTCTCTGTCACTGGGCTGTACACTTGACCTCCCCAAGATGCATAATTTGCGTTGTTAGATTCCCTCCAGGACTTCAACAATGATGCTGGCCAGTATCCGATGTTCTCATCCTTAAATGCAAACCACCAATCTCCCTTGACCCGATCCTGTTCCAAATTTGAAAGATGAATCCAAATGACTTTTAAGAGAAGTGATCAAATATGAGTAGAATTTACCTGATACAAGCTCAAACGCAATTCATACTGTGGACCATCATAGATCGAAATTGGTTGAAGAATGGCACTAATTGGTGTAGTCTTGCTAACTTGCACAAATCCAGGACATGACATGTCGTAGCAGCCGGTCTGGCTTCCGTGTATCTGTTAGCACAATAAACCAACATTTACATATAACACTTATAAGACCCTGAGAAGTTGATAAACTATTAGTGCAAGCTCTTACTGGTATAACTCAAAACTTACAGTCCATGAGGCGTATAAGCGAACATAATCACCGTAGTAGAGCGATGGATTCACCTGTTGTATATACATATTGTCAAACTTTTGTCAAATATATATTCACGCAACTAATTACAGTGGATAAGGCGTATTAGCGAACATGATCACTTTTGCTAAGGAAACATAAACTGACTTACCATCCACCCAGCTGAAATGCTGGCGAATTTTTCTTTAGGCCCTCCACCAACGCTTATGAATGCAAAACTAACTTGATCTAGCAAGATTTTTGGTTTCCATATGTTAATGTTTCCTTTTACTCCAGAAAAACTATCCGGTCCAAAGTCAGCTTTTGCAAACTAATATCCATAAAGAACAAAGAAACTCAACAAATGAAAGTAGAAAAAAAATGCTGGTTGGTACTCTCAACTTATAGAGGGTTCTTACGTAGAATTTTCCATTTGAATTAGTGTTATTTCTCTCTTTGAGAAAAGATCTCGGGCCGTTGAATCCCATGGATTTCAAACGTTTTGCATGCATAAGATCTTGCATTGTTGTCCTTTTTACAATTACTGTTCCATCTGGACAGCTTATACCTTCTTGCAGAAGATCAAATGTCCCTGAAATGTTGTTTCCAGTGATCCATTCAGGTACAGTTGTTGGCTTTAGCTGTATATACATCAATGTGTTCAAAAATTCCATCATTCTCTAAGGAGATATTCATCTTTGATTGAAAAGAAAGGAGACAGAGAGAATTTTGTATAAAACAAAACCTGAACAGAGTGATTTTTTAGTAGAGGATGATCAAATGCTAGTTGTTTGTGAATTTTGATACAATCGAATATATCACCATGTTCAGTCTGTTGATAGGGAAAAATCAAAAAAATAATTAGATATGAAACAGTAAGCATGACCAACGTAGTGTTGTCCTAGTGGAAAATCTCTAAGGTGGAGGTGCAGGGTTCGACGCCCGTTGGAAAGGATCTTATCTCCAAAGAAGATGATTTTAATCTGGTGTGGATCCTGTCTCTGGGAGACGTAGAACCTTCGGGCTTGAACTTCTAGATATAAAAAAAAAAGAAAAAAAAAAAAGTAAGCATGTAAGAAGAAAGGAAGGTTAAGCCAACCTTGAAACTCTTGATTGCAGGCTTGTTGATAGCTTTGAGTTGTCTCTCCATTTCTTTCATCTCTGCCTTTGTTTGTATTGCTCTGCGTTCTTTAGTTGCTTCAGCGGATAAAATAAGAGTGATTGTTAACAGAATCAGTAGCACATAGTGGTCGAAGGAAGCCATATTGATTCTCTAAAAGAGGCTCTTATCTTTACTCTTTCTTCTGCAAACAAAAAATGAATCAAAAGGATTGATTTTTTTTTTTTTTTTTTGACGGCACAAAAGGATTGATTTATAATGTAGAAAATAAGAATTTATTCTCAATTAATTAATGCACCTTCGAAGCATTTATTATATTTCATTAAAATAGAGGGTAATATCATTCTATGACCATTATTGAAGAGTAAATAAAGTATCTATTTGTTTGACCAAAAAAAAAAATAAGTTTCCATCTGATTGAGAAAAACATAAGTACAGTTCAAGATTCACAAATAAACAAAAATGTAAAAACAGTAAGCTGGAGCAAAAAAAACACAAATTAGAATAATTTTGCATTAACAGTAAACGATTAGTTATTTACCATTTGAAATTCAGATGATTATATTTTTATTTGACCATTTCATATTGTTATTTACAAATAATTTAGCAATGTTTTTAGCGGTTTAGAAACTAGAATCTATTACAGTCAAGTGTTATTTACATTCAAGTGTCTTTTATTTTAGTTTTGCATTGCATAATTGCATTAATGATATTCACATAATCTTGGGCTTATGTAACGGTTACACAAATGTAGAAGAAACAATTTCTGAGCATATTTTGCATATTAATACCTCAGCTAAAGCTTATTGAAGCAAACATCTTTTTGTTAAAAAACAAACTATAAACTATGATTGATCCAATTCGTCCACCAAACATTCTTGTATTTCTATTAATTATTCTTACAAATTACAACAAGATCAAAGTTTTATTTTTCAACTTAAAAAGTGAAAAAGCAGAGGATACTTAATTAACGCTGAGAGGTCTTAAGAACATGATAACTAAAATGTGCATCCTCCTGGTCCTCCATAAAAGATAGCGTCATCCCAAACTTTACCAAACAGTGGTTGGTCCTTTTTTACTTTGTAACAATTCGGAGTGCTTGAGAATGTCTTTAGAGTATCAAGTGGTGGAGTCATACCTACAGATCCAAGATCATTATATACTACAAAATCATTCATATAGGCTACTTTCGTGTAACTTCTTTTCTCTGGGAAATGTCCACTTCCCATTCTTGGGCTCTTCTCTTTCACTGGACTGTATACTTCTCCTCCCCATGATGCCAAACTTCCTCCATGGCCTAAACCAACAGCTGTGAACAATGATTTTGGCCAATATCCAACATAATTATCATTGAACGCCACCAACCACCAATTTCCTGTAATATGATCCTGCTTAAACAGACACGGTTACTTATGCATTCAAAGGACTAGAGAAACACTATGCACATTCTCATTAACAATTGGCTCATTTCATGGAACTTCTCAATATAAGCAAATTTGTGGATGTTGATGCTACCTTATACATGTTGATGCCTACTTCATATTGTTTGCCACCGTAAATGGAAACTGGTTGAAGAAGGTAGCCAAGTGGGATATCGGTGCTCACTTGTACAAAGCCAGGACATAATGTATTGTAACAACCTGTCTTCTCAAATCCATCTGCCTGTTTCGAATCAAAGGGACATATATAAATGATGGCGAGACACAACATGAAAATACCAAAGAAAAAGGTCAAATATATTATTGTAGATCTCTTATAGAGGTTTTAAGAACATACAGTCCAATATGTGTATAAGCGGCTGTGATTCTTGTTTAGCCATTGGTACACCTGAGGGATATTTGGAATGTGTGTTTTTGTTATATTTTCTATATTTTCACCATCGATGAGTGCAATTCAGAGAAAGTGAGGGAAAAGTACACAAGATTATGACTTACTATCCATCCAGCTCTAATGCCTTGAAACTGTTCATTTGATCCTGCAGCAATAGTGATACTTGCAAGACTGAATTGATTAGGTGAAACTTCCGGTTCCCAGATATTAAGGTTTCCCTTTGCTCCATAATGAAATTTTTTGTATTGAGCCACAGCAAACTATAATGCAAAGAAAATAAATAAGAAGAAAGAAGTGATTAATGCTCATTGTATATGAGAAATTTTTCTACGTGGAGGATGTTTTAGCGTGGTTCATACATGATAACCAGATAGATCAATGTTTTTTCCGTTTGAAGAAACATATCTTGAAGATTTGAACCCCATGGATTTCAAACTCCGAGCTTGTATAAGATCTTCTAGTGTGGTCCTCTTAACAATCACGGTTCCAAGTGGACAACTTATACCATCTTGTCTAAACGGGAGGGAACCACCTTTCTCAGAATTGTTGTTATTACTTATGGTCCATTTAGGTATAGTAGTAGGCCTCAACTATACACATCACATCATAATTCAATCCATTCATAAAGTAAGCTCATCTTTAAGAATTTTTAGGGAACTTCTTATATGGAATAAAACCTGAATAGAATGGTTTATGAGTAGAGAATGATCAAAGGCTAGTTGCTTGTGAATGTCGATGCAATCCAATGTATCACCATGTTTAGTCTACAGAATTGCAAAAATCAATAAACTTGATTTGTTTTCTAAAAAAATGTGATAATGGCCGCACAAGAAAAACTAACTTATATGATTATATCATATTTTTCGAAAGGCTAACTTACCCGGAAACTCTTGATTGCAGGTTTATTGATATTTTTGAGTAATCTCTCCAACTCGTTTTCCTCCTCTTCCAATTGTTTTGTTCTGTAACTCTCAGAAACTAAAATTAGAGCTATTGCTGAAAAGGTTAGCCAAAGAGACTTTTCGTAGGAATTCATGGCAACTAATAAAACTCCAAGAAACCAAGACTATATATTAACTGGCTTTCACAATAAATGAAATAAAAAAATTGAAGCACAACAACTATATATATGGTGTCAGATTACTCTTAAAGACCATAAAAATCAATAAATAACCTATATAGAATGACTGACAAGTGGCTCTCTTGCTATTAGCTTAAATGTTGATTACTTGATTCTAATAAATGTCTTTAGCAAACTTTAAATCTTTTTTTTATTTTTGTCTTCTTATGCTGAGTAAAGTGTAAAGTAAAGGTTAGGAGATATTTTCCCATAAATAATTACGAGAAAAAAAACAGTTTATAAGAAATTTACTGATATGATTATAAGTAGCTTTAACAGTATCTTCCAGCATAATTGATTGAATTCTTCCACCAAAACAACTGTATTATTTAATTTCTTTTTCAACTTAAAAACAAAATAAAAAACAAAGATCGATCTTAAGAACATGGTAACTAGAATGTACATCCTCCTGGCCCTCCAAAGAAAATAGCGTTATCCCAAAGTTCACCAATACCTGGTTTCTTTATGGCTTTGTAACAATTTGGGGTGCTTGAAAATGTTGTTAGAGAATGAAGTGGTGGACCCATCGAACCTTCCAATTTAGTATCTTCGACTACTTCAATACCACTCACATAGGCTGCTTTCTTGAAACCCTCTTCTGGGAAATGTCCACTTCCCATGCTTGGACTCTTCTCTTTCACTGGACTGTATACTTCTCCTCCCCATGATACATAACTTGCTCCATGGCTTAAACCAATATCTGTGAACAATGAATTTGGCCAGTATCCAACATAATTATCGAACGCAACCAACCACCAATTTCCTGTAATATGATCCTGCTTAAACAGACACGGTTATTTCAAATGACCCGGTTAACGCAACCAACCACCAATTTCATACATTCAAATGACCCGAGAAGCCTCAACTGTTGGTGGATTAGGCTCATTTCTAGGAACTTCTCAAAGTAGCAATTAAAATTTTGGTAGTTGATGGCTTGATGCTACCTTATATATGTTGATGTTTATTTCATATTGTTCGCCATTGTAAGTAGAAACTGGTTGAAGAAGTAAGCCAAGTGGGATATCAGTGTTCACTTGTATAAAGCCAGGACATAATGTATTGTAGCAACCTGTCTTCTTAAATCCATCCGTCTATATGAATCAAATAATATAACATATATAAATGAGGAGTTCCACAACACGAGAATGCGAAAGAAAAATCACGATGGCCTGACGTTATATTAAAGCTCTTTAGAGATTTGGAGAACTTACAGTCCAGTAGGTATATAAGCGAGTGTGATTCCGGTTCAGCCATTGATACACCTGAGGATATTTTTGAGTGATGGTTTGGTAACATATTTAACTTTTCACCATTGATATAAAAATTAGTGTAAGCTGATACAAGTTAGAGAAAGCAAGGGAAAACACAAAGATCATGACTTACTATCCATCCAGCTCTAATCCCTTGAAACTGCTCATTTAAGCCTCTAGAGATAAGCATACTTGCAAGACTGAATTGATTAGGTGAAACTTCTGGTTCCCAAAGATTAAGGTTTCCCTTTGCTCCATAATGAGAATTTTTGTACTGAGCAACAGCAAACTAGAATACATGAAAAAAAAGATGTGATTAATGCTCACTGTAGATGGAAATTCAAATTTCTCTACTTGACGGATGTATTAGCGAGATTAATACATGAAAACCAGTCAGATCAATGTTCTTGCTCTTCGAAGAAACATATCTTGAATAGTTTAACCCCATGGTTTTCAAACGCTGATCTTGTATAAGATCGTCCGGTGTGGTCCTCTTAACAATCACGGTCCCAAGTGGACAACTTATGCCATCTTGTCGAAGCGGTACGGAACGAGAATCATTATTATTATGTATGGTCCATTTAGGTATAGTTGTAGGCCTCAACTGCACATCATATTTCAAGCCACTTACAAATAAGCTCCTCTTTTAAAAAAATTACTCGAAGTAGGGAACTTCTATAATATAGACATAAACCTGAATAGAATGGTTTTTGAGCTGAGGATGATCAAATGCTAGCTGCTTTTGAATGTCAATGCAATCCAATATATCACCATGTTCAGTCTACAATATCGCAAAAAGCAATAAACTAAAGAATGTGATTCTGGCCGCATAGAAAACCATAATTTACGGAATATGATATCCGATTTTTCAAAAGGCTAACTTACCTGAAAACTCTTTATTGGAGGTTTATTGATATAGTTGAGTAACCTCACCAACTCGTTTTCATTATCTTCTAGTAATATTGGTCTGTGACTCTCTACAACTAGAATGAGAGATAGCGCTGAAAAAGTAAGCAGAAGAAGCTTATCAGAAGAAATCATGGCAATTGATATAACTATAAATATTTAAAGGCTCTCTTTATTATGATTGTCAGAAGTTTAATGAAACAACAAGTATATATATAAAGGTGTCACATTACTCTGAGTCTGAGGCCATTAATTAATATCAGAAAACAATCTATATACCATCACTGAGTGGCAAGTGGCCCTCTCTTTCTATCCCCCTTATGTGGATTCTAAATTTCTAATAAGAGTCTTTAGCCAACTTTAATATACATAAATGACTTTTTCTTCTTCTTATCATCTTGTCTTATATAATTAAAGTGTCTCCAAGAAAGGATTAGACATATAAAACAAAGACAAATTATCAAGAACAAGAATTAAAGTCATCATGATTTACCTTTTTCTAATGTCAGAAAATAAAAACTTGTCAGATCTCAAAAATTTGTAGTCTTCGTTTACTTTTTTCTATGCAAAACACGAAAGTGGTATTTTTTCTAAAACAAATTTAGCCCAAATCCAAGATATAAGTCCAACCTTGAGCATAATCGCAATGTATTGAATATTTCTGGAGAACAAATCAAATTTAGAGGTCCATAACATTGTCAGCCCTCAGAACACACAAATGTTCGGACTGAATCCAAAACTTATGGCCTAACTTCTTGTAAAAAATATTGGTTAAAAAACCCCCAAAGTTATAGATCGATTCATATGTATATGAATGAAACTGAAGCAGCTGAAGCACTAATGACTACGAAGAATCGGGAGAAAAAAAACTGGAAGCAATATCCATGTTTACATTGCATCATTTGGTATCAGAGCGACGCTTAGTTATTATACATCATGCGTTGCTCTGATACCAATTGATGTGATGGAAACCTAGTGATGGAACTGTAGAACCCTAATTAGTGTAACGCTCTGTATATATAGTGGTAGAGAAGATTGAGGAAACCCTAACCCTAGAAAGAGCAACGTTTTTACTGCTGCATATTTTTTTTTTCCTTTTTTTAAAACTCTTATATGTTTTTTACCGTATCTATGTAAAAGCTACTCCCTCCGTATTTTAATAAGTGTCGTTTTAGGATTTTCTTTTTTTAAAAATTATATGTCGTTTTCAAATTTCTATGCAAAATTTTTTACTTTTTAATGTTTTATGATATCATAAAACATTAAAAAGTAATAAATTTTGTATAGAAATTTGAAAACGACATCCAATTCAAAAAAATAAAAATTCTAAAACGACACTTATTAAAATACGGAGAGAGTATTATATAAAATTTAACAATTAACTAGGAGAGAAAAACAGTTTGGAAGAAATTTATTGATTTGCTTAGAACTTCTAGTCAATAGCAATTATACTTTATGTCCTACTTATATAGCAGTTCCTTGATCTTATAATTACATGATTTTGTAGACAAGAAATGTACGATTTTCTCTCTGTACTTTTAGGTGAATTTTTTTGCACTCAGTCCAATGCTCAATAAACATATACTAAAAGTTCTGAAATTGTGAAACTTGATTTTGATTATTGATGAAAGCATATAAGTAATGCTTGGATATGTTAGAAATCTGTATAATTTCTCCTATTAGCTTCATCTATAATTTTTAAAATCTTGTAAACTCTTCAGTTCATAGAATATTATTTCCCTATGCATCCTCCAGGACCTCCATAGTAAACAGCTCTTATCCAAGGTTCATCATCATCATGAACATACTTGGCTTTATAACAATTTGGAGTGCTCTCATGTGTCTTTATAGTGTAGATTTGTGGAATCAAAGCTTCTCCCTTACCATTGAGGATATGGATATTGTTTACAAAGGCTGCTTTTCCGAAGCCTTCCTTAGGAAAATGCCCACTGCCCATAATTGGACTCTTTTCAGTCGTTGGACTGTACACTTGACCTCCCCAAGATGCAAGATCTGCTCCTTTAACTAAGCCTGAGGCTATGAACAATGACTGTGGCCAATACCCAACATTCACTCCTCCAAATATAAGCCACCAGTCTCCCGTGACACGATCCTGTTCCCGATATTATAAGACGAAATATCCAAGTGATCACTTAAAAAATTAATTAGATCACTAGAGACTCTGGAGGTAATTACCTGATGCAAGCTTAAGTCCATTTCTTTTTGTGTACCATTATAAATTGAAACTGGCTGAAGAAGGACACCAAGTGGTATTCTCTTGCTGACTTGCACGAATCCAGGACATCTTATGTCGTAGCAGCCTGTCTTATTATATCCATCTGCCTGTTTGAGTCAATTTACCATACATATCTCACTAAGATCATGTGAAGTTAGAAAAATATTATTAGCGTAAACTTGCAACGGGGTTACTCAAAACTTACAGTCCAGTAGGTGTATAAGTGAATGTGATCCTTGTACAACAATGAATTCACCTGTAGTATATATGTTTCCAAACTTTTTCTTCTCAAACTTTACCTTCATGTGATTAGAAAAAAAAAAAATAACGAAAGAAGTAGAAACTAGACTTACCATCCATCCAACGGAAATGCTGGAGAGCTCTTCGATTATTGGACCGCCTGCAATCGCCATGGTTGCAAGACTAACTTGATCATGTGACACTTGTGGATCCCAGAGGTTAATGTTTCCTTGGACTCCAGCAATGTTGTCATATTCATAGTCGGCCGTTGCAAACTAAATATATATCCATAGAGAACAGAGAAATTAAGAAAATGGAAACAGAGAAATGGTGTTTTACTGTTTTATGTTGAAAGTAAGGATTGGTACATGATGTCCAGTCAAATCAATGTTGTTTCCGTCTCTAAGGACATGTCTAGGGATATTAAATCCAATGGATTTCAAATGTTGTGAGTATATAAGATCTTGGATTGTAGTCCTTTTAACAATTACTGTTCCATGTGGACAACTTATTCCCTTTAGCTGAAGCTCCAAAGGACCAATTTTTTGTGAATTGTTGTGGCATGTGATCCATTTAGGTACACTTGTTGGCTTTAGCTGCATATACGTCAATGCGTTCTTTTAGGTATAAATAATTCATCCTTGATACAAGAAACGAGAGAGGAAGAGAGAAGAACTCTATAAAACTCAAAACCTGAATAGAGTGGTTTCTCAGCAGATGATGATCAAAGGCTAGTTGCTTGTGAATGTCGATACAATCGAATATTTCACCTTGTTCAGTCTGTTCAACAAGGAAAATTGAAAATGCTGTCTATAAGTTATTTTACTACTCATAAACTCATGTCATGTTTCTTCAGCGTAACGGAAGCATGTTTGAAGAAGGACGGCTAAGCGAACCTTAAAACTCTTGATTGGAGGTTTGTTGATAGCTTTAAGTTGCCTCTCCATTTCGTTCTTCTCTTCTTCCGATGGTATCGCTCGGCTTAGATGAGCTGCTTTCACCCCTAAAACAAGAGCAATTGTTAACAGAATCACTAACACAAGGTGGTTATTGGAGGAATCCATTGTGTAAACAATGATTGTCCAACAGTCAGAGGCTCTTATCTTTCTTATGTAAATAAACAATGAATCAAAAGAATTAAGTTATAATGAATGAACAACTTACAATCAAAATGGTGAGAAGAACTTATAGACAAGTGGCCTATACTTTTCCATGGAATCAAATTAATAAAGAGTGAATAAATAGATGAAATGTATATTGTTATCTTGGGCTTAAATAATTAACGGTTACAGAAAATTTTGAGGAAAAGATCTGAGATTTAACTCTGCATATTAGTACTGAGATAGTGAGATATAAACGTGTCTCCCTCTGCAGACAGCAAACAGAAAAGTGGTAAAGAAAAGTATAAAGTAAAAAACCATAATCTCTTTACACAATTGATTGTATATGTCTCTATTAATCCAAAACTAATAAACACACAAAAACAAAACTTCTCAGATCTACAAGACACAAAAGTGCTATTTTGTGAAAAAGAAAGTTACAGCGTAGGTCTAAGATATATGTAAGATCGATCCAATAACGAAACTCTGCTCCAAGAAACAAAGGGAGAAACTTACCTTCCTCCTTAGAAATCTCATGTTTTAGTTAACTCGTGTCGTCTTCTTAAATACAATCGAGACTTGAGACATAGAATTGAAGCGTTAACAACAAGGTAAAAAAAGAAACACGGAATCAGGCAATATCGATGTTTCCATTGCATCAACTGGTATCAGAGCCGCGCAAATTTTTCATAGGCGTGGCTCTGACACCAATCGACGTGATGGAAACCGAGCGATGGAACTATTGAGAAATCGTACAAGCTCTAATTTGTTGATAGCTCTCTCTATATATATATATATATATATTGGTAGTGGAGATTAAGCAAAACCCTAGCTAACCCTAACAAGGGCAGCCTTCAAAAAAAAAAAAAAAAAAAAAAAAAAAAAAAAAAAAACTGAACTTAAAATCAAATAAAAATTAGGAATAAATTAATGAAATCTGAAAAAAATGTTTAATCGGTTTAAGTTAAGTTAACTAAAATGTGCATCCTCCAGGTCCTCCAAATAAGATAGCTCTTGACCAATATTCACCAACACCTAATATTTTCTTGACGTTATAACAGTTTGGACTGTCTGCGACTGTCTTTAAAGCTGAAGCTAACGGACTCGAAACTTCTTTTGTTATATCAGTGATTATTTTAAAACCATTCACATAGGCTGCTTTCTTGTAACCCTCTTGTGGGAAATGTCCACTTCCCATGCTTGGACTCTTCTCTTTCACTGAACTGTAAACTTCTCCTCCCCAAAACACCGCACTCGCTCCATCAGCTAAACCTTGAGGTTTGAACAATGATTTTGGCCAATATCCAATTGGCTCGTTATTTAGCACAAACCACCAGTCTCCTGTAACATGATCCTGCTTAAATCAAAAGCAATAGCTGATAACATAACCCTCTAACTCTTCGATATAAGTTTGAAGAAAGCTAGTGTTGTGTATATTTATATATACCTGATATATGCTGACTTCTAGTTGATATTGTTGACCATCATAAATGGAAACTGGTTGGACAAGCATTCCAATTGCATACTTGGTGCTCACGTGTACAAACCCAGGACATAGTGTATTGTAGCAATGAGTCTTATTATTTCCATCCGCCTATTTGAATCAAAGATTTAAATGTTTTTGATTATTTGCTAAACCATAGTTTTTTTTTTTTTTTTAAACGCAAACTTTCCTTTACGTGAGAAAGAAAAAACGATTCATTTTGTCTTTTCTAAAGGTAAAACATAAAACATTTTCATTTTTGTTGTTTGTTAACGAGCACACATAATGTTTTCCTCATTCCTCTGCTAAAAGATTGAATCGAACTCTTGCAATCAAATATCTACAAAGGTGGCATGGTCACTTGAGCTAGAGGATCCAAGCCATTTTGCAAAATACAAATATAAACAACACAAAAATGAAATGTTTTTTTTGTGTGTGTGTATACCGTTTACGTTTATAATAACTTTACGGGTTCTTTTTAGAAAGCAAATGTAAATTACAAAGTCAAGACTTTAAGAAGTTATGAAAAACTTACAGTCCAGTAAGTGAATAAGCGACTTTGATTATTGTGATATAGCCCTGGATACACCTAAAAAGATATTTTGAAATGTTGGTTCCAGATTTTTATTTTAGAAAATAAGTTAAAAAAAGGGGTCTAGCTTGACTCACAATCCATCCAGCAGAAATGCTTTGAAACCCTTCGTTGCCTGAGACAGTCATAGCCGCAAGACTAAACTGATCAGGTGAGACATTTGGGTTCCATACGTTAATGTTTCCTTTTGCTCCATAGTGGTAATCTTTGTAACTAATTGTGGCAAACTAAAATCCAAAGAGAAAATGAATAGATAATCAAAAAACATTATAACCATTGTGCAAGGGGATCTCAATTCAACTACGTGTAATAAGAAATGCTTCTTACATGATGACCCGTTAAATCAATTTTCTTGTCCTTTGAAGAAATTTGTCCTGGATAGTTGAATCCTAAGGATTTCAAACGTTGAGCTTGTATAAGATCTTCAAGTATAATCCTTTTTACAATGACTGTCCCAACTGGACAACTTATGCCATCTTGTCGAAATGGCAATGAACTAGATTTATGAGAAGTGTTGTTATCTTTGGTCCATTTAGGTATAATTGTGGGCTTCAACTGCATATATATTTCAATCCCTCAAAAATTAATAAGAAATTTTTGAAGAGATTTATTCGTGTTTTTAAGGGTAAAACCTTAATAGAATGGTTCTTGAGTAAAGGATGATCAAAAGCTAACTGTTTTTGAATGTCGATGCAATCCAATATATAACCAGGTTCAGTCTGTTGAAATGAAAAGTAACTTGACATCATAAACTTCAATATTCAACAATATTTTAAAAAAACTATCGAAAATTTAAGAAAAGAAAGGCTAAATTTACTTGGAAACTTTTGAGGGCAGGTTTATTGAGATAGTTGAGTAACTTCTCCATCTCTTCTTCCTCCTCATCCGAAGGAACTGATTTGTGACTCTCCCCAACTAAAATGAGAGCCATTGTTGATAAAGTTAGCAAAATAAGTTTATTGGAATACCTCATGATGAATCAAGGATCTTAATCTATATTTTTCAAAAGCAGAATGAAGTAGAGCAACTATATTTATTGTGTCACAATAAATCTGAGACCATTTATAACCTACAAAGAACCTAACTCAGTAACTGACAAATGTCTCTCCCTCTATCTCTATTGCCCATATGTGGATGCTAAAGTGAGATTTTATTTTAATAAACTTTAAGAAACTTTTTGTTTTTAGTTTTATAAAGGGTATTCCAATTAATTGTATAAGCAAAAGAAAAGCTTGTTTATGGGTCAAAGCCCAAATGCCCAATATAAAAACCAAAACAGTAGTGACACAAATGAACCATGAATTGATATATAAACAGTAGATAAGGATAAACATTTTCGATGTGAAGTGTATAAAATATATTCTCTTTATAATATCTTTCACATAATTTGATAGAAACATTATGTTGGAATTGTCCACATCAATTGAGCTGTAGTATATTCTGTTTTAGCAAATTATATATAGGAGTTGCTTAATCTTATGTCCATCTTCTTCTATACATCGTTTTCGCGCCTAGTTGTCCAGTCTATTTCAACTACCGACCTCTAATAATTCTTATTTCAAAACATTTTTTAACCTCAATTATTATGCTCAAATACTAAATTTAACCGTTAAGAAACATTATACTAATTTAAAGTCTTACATGAAAAATGTAGGTAGACAGAGTGAGTTATTTTAGTCTAAATTCACCATTTTATTTACTAATTAACTATATTTATTTATAGTTACTTGTTTTTTATCCCCATGAATAATATAAGATTTTTGAAATTAGCAAATGAAAAAATTATTCAAATTTAATAACTATTTTTGCCTAAACGGACTAAACGTACCAAACAATAAAACCACCAACAAACACATCAGTCCCCAAATTTACAGAGAGAAAAAAGCTCAAGTTGGTGATAGAGTGAGAGAGAAACATGGAGGGCAAAGAAGAAGACGTGAATGTCGGAGCCAACAAGTTCCCGGAGAGGCAGCCGATTGGTACGGCGGCGCAGACGGAGAGCAAGGACTATAAGGAACCACCTCCGGCGCCGTTTTTCGAACCCGGCGAGCTCAAATCTTGGTCTTTTTACAGAGCAGGCATAGCTGAGTTCATAGCCACTTTCCTTTTCCTCTACGTCACCGTTTTGACAGTCATGGGCGTTAAGAGAGCTCCTAATATGTGTGCCTCTGTTGGAATCCAAGGCATCGCTTGGGCTTTTGGCGGCATGATCTTTGCTCTTGTTTATTGTACTGCTGGAATCTCAGGTTCAGGATCTGTTCTTGTTCTGAAAGTTTTCGAATTTAGCTTGAAGGAATCTGGAATTAGGGCTAATTGGTTGTTAGGAATTTGGTAACTTCTTGGAGAAAGTTTGATACTTTGAGTAATTTCCCACTCAAAGATTGAAACTTTTGAGTAATTTTCTTCTTAAAGTTTGAAACTTTGAGTAATTTCCCATTTTGTTTCTTCTGTGGGAAGAACATAATCTGATTCTGATTTCTTTGGCGAATTGGTTTGGTGATGAGCAGGAGGACATATTAATCCGGCGGTGACTTTTGGTTTGTTCTTGGCGAGGAAGCTGTCTTTAACCAGAGCTCTGTTCTACATAGTAATGCAGTGCCTTGGAGCTATTTGTGGTGCTGGTGTGGTTAAAGGGTTTCAACCAGGGCTTTACCAGACGAATGGCGGTGGAGCTAATGTGGTGGCTCATGGTTACACAAAGGGGTCAGGTCTTGGTGCAGAGATTGTTGGAACTTTTGTTCTGGTTTACACTGTCTTCTCAGCTACTGATGCTAAGAGAAGTGCCAGAGACTCTCATGTCCCTGTATGTTGCTAATTCACTAGTATCCTTGAATTGGGTTGAGTTCATGTTATTGGCATTGAACTCATGTGTTTTTTGGTTATCGAAAATTTTGCAGATTTTGGCTCCGCTTCCAATTGGGTTTGCTGTCTTCTTGGTGCACCTGGCTACCATCCCAATCACTGGAACCGGCATTAACCCGGCCAGGAGTCTCGGAGCTGCCATCATCTACAACAAGGGTCATGCTTGGGATGACCACGTAAGTCCCTCTTTAATCACATCAACGGTTGTGCTAAGTGTGATACGAATGAATTGCATCAAACATCTAAATAGTAACTTAAAAATTTGCTAAATTCTACTCTTTTATCTCTTGTTTTATTCTGTTTTCTGTGTCTGCAGTGGATCTTCTGGGTCGGTCCATTCATCGGTGCTGCGCTTGCTGCTCTCTACCATCAGATAGTCATCAGAGCTATTCCTTTCAAGTCCAAGACATAAAGCTTCCTACATATTCTCTGATCATCATCAAGCTAAGAATATATCAATCTTTCATTCTATGTGCACTCCTCTGGTTTCCTATGTCTCTTGTGTGATGATCTCTATATCTACCACTGGGGCTTGGTCTTGTAACATTGTATAAGTGTAATTTATTATGTACCAGTGGCATTGTATCTTGTTACATTGTATTGTATATGTGTAATTAATTATGTCAATGGAAGAATACATTGTGTACATGTGTAAGCTCAGAATCTTGTTTGTATATCACTGGGACGTAATTGAACTAGACTAAGTGGCGGTGCTAACATTGTCAATAAGTGTTTCCAATATCAAACATTAGCGACAAAATTGTAAAATGTGTAGAATTTGATAGAACAACATCTGATATTTCTTGATTGATTCGAAACCAAACTGAATTGATCTGACGCCCTCATCGCAAGTATTCTTCCTCTTCTTCTTCTTCTTCTTCTTCTTCTTCTTCTTCTTCTTCTTCTTCTTCTTCTTCTTCTTCTTTAAGAGTCTTTCTTTTTCCACTTTGTATGACATGCTTATGTTTGAATTTCCAACTTCTTAATGACAGTTTCAGTTCAAGATTTTCTTGGGTGATATTCAGTTCTTGGTTTTGGTTCTGTCTGTGAACTAGTTCAATATGGATGATGGCCATGAAATGCATGGTTCTATTCCACATGGTGGGGTTCCAGTATCGTAATTAAAGAACCCGATTTAGTAACAACATCTTGCACATGTTTGATGCAGGAACATGTATTGTGGTAGGCTAAACTGTGCAACAAACAGAGTAAAGAGAATGATGAGGCAAGAAAGTGTAAGAGTTCAGCTAGAGCTAGCTTGATCTTAATTAAGAGAATAAGCAATTTCCCTTTGTTCATATATTACTCGGGTTGTTTACATTTATCAAACAAATATCAGAGTATTGTTTATTTTGTAAAAACCCTGAGACTAATGGAAATTAACATTGGTGATCTAGTGGATCATGAAAAAAGGTTGATTGTGACAAGAAAAAGGATGTTGATTAGCATCGAATATCTTGCAATACAAAAACAAATCAATAGTAGATCCTAAACATCTTCAAGATGATGATGATCTAATTGTAAATGTTTTGCTGGAGTTTTATCTTAAATAATCAAAGTCTTTCAATTATTGTAGGTGTGTATATACTCAACATAAGATTAATCCATAAACAAAAAGTAATATAAAGGTACTGTTGCGGGAAAAGGTTACTTAATGGTTAAGAAGTTTGGCTTATGATCATCCCACTTTGTGAAGTATGGCATTGGACTTTCTTTTTACCGATATTAGAGCCAAATGAAAGAGTTTTCTTAATCGCCAAGTTCCAACCAAAAAACATAAAGCCCACATTTACGAAAAAGACTTGTATACCAACATTTTGAATTGATATGATACAAAGCTTCAAATATCCAAATCGAGGAAATCATTTAAAACGAACAATACATAGTTTTTAAATATAAATTGCGAAAAAAGGTAAAGCCACTCATCAAAATTCAAAAGTGATCATGAGATTAAAGCAAGTGAAGACGCATACATTATCACATAAAAAGTAGCAAACACACTAAGAAATTAGATAAAAAGATAACAGAATAATTCCATAAACTTTTTTCTTTTGTTTTGTCTAGATTTTGTTTTTTGAATTTCAGTCACTCATACGTGTGAATGTATATCAACAACATAGTTTTAAATGTATAAAAACTCTCAGCTACTACTATAAAGTAGCTGAAGGATATGTGATTAAGATATATATATAGAGAGAGAGACAAGCCAGCAAGAAGTTTTAGTACACACACACACAAAAGATTCAAAGAATCATCAAGTAACAAAAAAATAAAGTAAAAGAGAGAGAAGGAAAATGAACAGAATGAGCAATACAGTGATAGGGTTCTTGAATATCCTAACACTAATTTCCTCCATAGTGTTATTAGGATCAGCTCTATGGATGGGTAAGAGCAAGACAACATGCGAGCATTTTCTTCAGAAGCCACTTTTGATCTTAGGCCTAGCTATCTTGATCTTGTCAATAGCTGGTCTAGTCGGTGCATGTTGTGACGTGGCTTGGGTCTTGTGGGTGTACCTCTTCTTCATGGTCTTCATCATAGTCGCGCTCATGGGTTTGACCTTGTTTGGCTTCATAGTGACTAGCCATGGTGGTGGTGTGGGTGTGGATGGTAGGGTTTATAAAGAGTTTAAGCTTGAAGCATATCACCCTTGGCTTAAGACAAGAGTGATAGATACTAATAATTGGGTTACTATAAAGACTTGTCTATTGGGCTCTGTCACTTGTTCCAAGCTCGCTCTTTGGACTCCTCTTGATTATCTCCAAAAGGACTTATCTCCTCTTCAGGTACTCGTTATAATCATTCCAATTTTTTCATAATCAGTACAATTAGTCAACTAGCTAGAATCATTTAGAGATTTAATCTTCTTTAAAAAAATAGTTTAAATTATAGTACAAATACAAAGATTATAATTAATCTCTACATGTTCTACTCTTTTGAATTCTAGAGTAACAAAAAAATTAGCTAGTGCTAAACATGTTAATATGAATTCAGAGTTATTCAAATTTTCAATATTTGGAAACAGTCGGGATGCTGCAAACCACCGACGTCATGCGTTTACAACACGGACACGGTGATACAACAAGACCCTGATTGTTACCGGTGGAGCAACGCTGCGACAGTGCTTTGCTACGATTGTGACTCGTGTAGAGCTGGCGTTTTAGAGACCGTGCGTCGCGATTGGCACAAACTATCTCTAGTTAACGTCGTCGTTGTTCTTTTCCTCATCGCAGTTTACTGCGTTGGCTGTTGCGCGTTTAAAAACGCCAAACGCCCTCAACATTACGGCTTTCCTTACGGACGTTACGGCATGTCCAAATCTCGACCCGGATGGGAACAGTCCTGGTGAGATTTAATTGTTTATTTAGAATCACAGAAAAATAATGGTCTTCATTTCTATATTAGTAAATGTTTATATATGATTGATGATTTTCTTTTCTAATACTAACATTTTTTTTCCTTTTTTCGCGGAATGTATAGGTCGAGATGGTGGCATGGGAGAGATCGGTATTAGTGAAAAATATTTATGTAATGTTTTCTGAATTTTGCGGTTTAGCTTCTTGGCCTCTAATTTATAATTTATAATTTTGTACAGAACCTAAATTTATGATAATGAAATGTCTACCTTTTTGGTTGTTGTTAAACAGAGTCAGATTAACTAAGATATGATATTGTAACAATACTCCAACGAGCTAGTAAGAGTACTTTACAGTGGCGAAGCCAAAAAATCAATTCATCGGGGTCAATATTTTTTTTTCTAAAAAATACATAAAAGATAGCTTCATAAGTCGATATACTAAAAGATGTGAAATATGTTTTCTTGTCTCCACCATCACACGATCGAAGATTGATTATAAAAACACAAAGAAGAAAAAAGAAGAAGGTAAAACGTTTTTAGGTCAGCTCAAAATAAATGTTAAAATATTATATTAATTTATATTAATGGGTTTAATTGTAGTATATTTACTTACAATAAATTTTATTAGGCTAAATATTATCTATAAGTACAATGTAATCATTGGGTTTGTAGCATAATTTTTTTTATAGGGGTCAATATTTTTATTGGATTGGGGTCAATAATTTATTTTATATAAAAATTTAACTATTTTTTAAAATTTCACCGGGGTCAATTGACCTCTATGAGTCTACACTCTCTCCGCCCCAAGTACTGTAGGATATCGGATTTTCGGAACACAAAATTTAGTCATTACATGATAATTTTTTTTGGGATAGTGTGACTTACGATCCCAAAATCTGACTTAAGAAATTGAAAACAAGAGCTAAATGTTTAATGTGTATGGAACATAATTTAACTTGTATAAACACACAAAAAAAAAAAAAGCTTTGTATAAACACTGCAACTGTACAATATATCGATCATCATGAGGGCATAGTCAAATGGGTTCTCTTTGGGCCAGACATGAATCATTGAGGAGGCCCATCAAGGTGTAAAACTAGGGGTAACGAGGCCTTGCCTTGAAGATAAATCATAAGTGTTTCTCCCACATCGGAAACATGAGGATGGGACAGGTCTATGGAGTAGTTTAAATAAAGAAGATGGTCGAGCCTTGTAAAGTACTTACCTGGACGGGGTCAACTCGTGATCAAGAAGACGAGTGGCCTAGGCTAGTGACTTCCATTGCACATAACGGAAGGGTGCTTAGCCTAAGGTCTTCCCATGTGGAAGAGCCTGCGTCATTATTTGTGGCAGCGGGGGCCTGCGTTCGCGCGGCCCCTTCCATCTTGCTAGTTCAATTTCTTCAGCTCTCTGTTAATCCTGATAAATGCTCGCGCAGGTCTTATTCACCACGTCTTTCTCTAATTACTGACGTTATTGTTGGAGCTATTTTATTGAAGGTTGTTAGAAATGGTATCTTTTGACTTTGGAGATGCAATCTTCGACTCCAATCTCCACCACGTGAGATATGAGGATTCTCTTTTCTCAACTTCTTCTCCAATTAAAGTAATCACATTTTTCTGTCACATATGAACAAAAACGTTACTAAAAAATCAGTATTTTAGCGAAATCACTCGACCACTCAAGAAGAAAATCCCTAACTAATCTCAGAAAAATGTGGTTTTCTGGATCGAAAGGAGCATCTGGATTCTCGTCTCGGTCCACTGCAGAGGAAGTCACACATGGTGTTGATGGGACTGGCCTCACTGCCATAGTCACAGGTGTTTCTTTTTATCAAAACTTTCATGCTCTTCTGCGACTTGGGTTTGTCTAAAGTTGTAGACTTTTCTATAATTTCGAATTGATATCATCTCTAGGCTAACGATTTTTGACTTTTTATTGTTTAGACAATTGGAAAATTTGAGGTTTTTATGATCAGGGTCTGTTTTTGCTTTGGTCAACCCTAATAAATATATAGAGGTCATCACTGTTTGTTGTTCGAAAGTTTGTCTTTTTTTGTCAATAAGTAACAACAATCTTTTGCTCACAAGAATTTGGATTGAAACTCTCTGTCTGGTGAATTTTAAAGTAAAACATGTTTGGGACCATTTGCATGTAAGGGAAAATAACTTAAGAATCTGCAAACAACATGTACTAGTAGAAACTTACATACATATATACTGGTCTCTGTTTAAGTTTTATTTGTGTTATAATCACACTCTATACAAAGTGGACAAAAAGTTTTGCTTGTAGAAATCTTTTCAATATTTTGATCATATTCAAAAGGGCATGAATCAAGAACAATGGAAATTCTTCAAGTGATAGAACCCTGTTAGGTGACTTATAGGCTTAAATAAGAGTTAATGTTAAAGACACTAAGAGTTGCACTTACAGATTTAAGTCTAGTATTGATTGAGCCGATTTTTGCCCTGGATACTTGGTTAGATTGAGTATGTAGTTTACTTTGCACATGTTCTGTATCAGCCTATCAGGGTTTGCAAAGGCTAGGAACTAGCTTAATCTAGTCTTAGTTGATACAACTTAAAAAGTGAGCTAGCCTTAATTTGGGTTTGTTCCGTTATTCGGTTTATAATGTGAGTATTCGACTTTGTAGGGGGCGGCAACAACTTGCTATGTGGCATTGAATCCACAGGTTGCAGGAGTTACAGGAGAATACTTCTTAGATAGCAACATTGCTAAACCATTACCACTTGTCAAAGACACAGAATTGGCCAAGAAGGTTTGGGATTTTAGCACTAAGCTTACCGATTCGCAATCAAGAGAAAGTAGTTCTTGAAAATAGCTAGATGTTCAGTGAACCTTTACTTTAATGGTTTTCACGTTTCGATGTCTCTATTGTGACAATACTTATTTCATTCTTTATCAAAAGGAAATAAAATGTACAACAAATCTGAATCATTTCCATTTCAATTCTGCAAAATGGTGGTTTAGTTCTCAACCTTCACCAATTAACAGAAGAAAAAGAAGCCACGAGGAGACAATATTGTCAATGCATCATTATTAAAGTAATTCATAGTCAGGAATGATAACTCAATGATGATATTTTAGTTTAAATTCACTTTCTTAATGGTTTCTTTAGGAAGATTAACATAATTAATTAATCTTTGTGATTGGACATTGGAGTGTTATAGATAGGCTCTGTATTTCGTCATTTTCTCAACTTCTTCTTTTTTCAACTAAAGTAATCACGTCACATATTGAACAAACAACTCTCATAGTTTGTGTCAAATTCTTCTTTCCTCTCATCTTCTCCAATTCTTCTCAAAAGAAAAAAAAAAACAGAAAGATGTGGTTCTTTGGATCGAAAGGAGCATCTGGGTTCTCGTCTCGTTCAACTGCAGAGGAAGTCACACATGGTGTTGATGGGACTGGCCTCACTGCCATAATCACAGGTGTTTCTTCTATCAATACTTTTTTCCCCTTTTGGGACTTGGGTTTTGTCTAAATTTTTAATCTTTTCTATAACTTCCAGATTTTGGTTCCTATCTGGTTCTGTCTTTGAATTGATTTCATATGTAGTCTAGATTTTTGACTTTTATTGTTTAGACAATTGGAATTTAAGGTTTTTATGATCAGGGTCTGTTTTTGATTTGGTCAACTCTAATAAATATGGAGGTTTTCACTGTTTGTTGTTCTAAAGTTGTCTTTTTTTCAATAAGTAAACAATCTTTTGCTCACCAACATGTTTGGGACCATTTGCATGTAAGGGAAAGTAACAATTTGACCTGCAAAAAGGGTTAGGTGACTTATAGGCTTAAGCAAGAGGCCAGAGTTGAACATACATATTTGAGTCTAGCATCGATTTGGCCGAATTTTGTCCTGGATGTGAAGTGATGCTTCCTTATTTGGTTAGATTGAGTATGTAGTTTATCAACTATTGGTGTTTTAATAGAGGTTTGCACATGTTCTGTGTCAGCCTATCAGGGTTTGAAAAGGTTTGGTTGATACAACTTTACAAAGTGGTCTAGCCTGCATCGAGTTTTGTGGACAAGTTTTGTTCCTAAAGTTTCTTGCCTTTTTGTTCATATTTTTTTAGGAGCATCAAGTGGTATAGGAGTGGAGACAGCGCGTGTTCTTTCACTGCGTGGTGTGCATGTGGTTATGGCGGTGAGGAACACTGGCTCTGGTGCTAAAGTTAAGGAAGATATTGTCAAGCAAGTCCCTGGAGCTAAACTCGATGTCATGGAGTTAGATCTTAGCTCAATGGAATCTGTCAGGAAATTTGCATCTGAGTACAAATCTGCTGGTCTTCCACTCAACCTCTTGATGTAAGCTATTGAAAATATTGTGGTTCATATATAGCGGTCTCGATTTATTGATGGTTAATGTATTGAATTGTCTCAATTTTGTAAGCAACAATGCCGGGATTATGGCATGTCCTTTTATGCTCTCTAAGGACAACATCGAGCTGCAATTCGCAACCAATCATTTAGGTGAGTAAGATAAGTAAACCAACAGTATGGCTTTGTTCTAAAGTTATATACTTTAGTTAACATCATCATTAGTTTTTAATCAGTGACATGGATTTTGTGATCCAATTTTATTTCAGGTCATTTTCTGTTGACCAAACTTCTGCTAGATACAATGAAGAACACATCGCGTGAAAGCAAACGAGAAGGAAGGATTGTTAACCTATCATCAGAAGCTCATTGGTTCTCGTACCCAGAAGGAGTCCGCTTTGATAAAATCAATGACAAGTCAAGGTACTAATGGTGATCCACATAGTAATTCTTCTATCAAAATCTAACATTCTTCCTTGGATTGGTCTTCATTGCAGTTACAGTAGTATGCGAGCTTATGGACAATCTAAACTCTGCAATGTGTTGCACGCCAACGAGCTTGCAAAGCAACTGAAGGTAACTACAAAAAACAACGAGATCTATCAAATCAAGAATCTAGGCTTTTCATTTTTATCTTGATTCGAATCTGGTATGAATAAAACAGGAAGATGGAGTCAATATAACAGCAAATTCGGTTCATCCAGGAGCCATTATGACTAACCTCGGGCGCTACTTCAACCCCTATTTGGCTGGTAACGTCTTTTCTCTGATTCCACTATCATCACTCCATGCTTCATAAGGTTACACACAAATAAACAAACGCATACATATACTTCTTCTGATCTTCTCTGTCACCGGCTTGATGCAGGAGCTGTTGGTGCAGTCGCTAAATATATCCTCAAGTCTGTTCCACAGGTATGCTTCTAATTTTGAAGCCTCACACTGA